CCCGGGCCCCGAAGCAGACGCTCCCACGTCCCCGGGCCCCGAAGCAGACGCTCCCACGTCCCCGGGCCCCGAAGCAGACGGTGCTCCCACGTCCCCGGGCCCCGAAGCAGACGGTGCTCCCACGTCCCCGGGCCCCAAAGCAGACGGCGCCCCCTCCGGCTCTGAAGCAGACGGCGCCCCCTCCGGCTCTGAAGCAGACGGCGCCCCCTCCGGCTCTGAAGCAGACGCGCCCGGCTCTGAAGCCGACGTCGCCCCCTCTGGCTCTGAAGCAGACGCGCCCGGCTCTGAAGCCGACGTCGCCCCCTCCGGCTCTGAAGCAGACTCGCCCGGCTCTGTAGCCGACGTCGCCCCCTCCTGCTCTGAAGCGGACATCTCTGTCTCAAGTCTCCCCACACGTGTTCCAGTTCCCCAAGCCTCAAGTGTTCCCATCTCGAGTGTTCAAGTCTCCCAGCCTCCCGAGTCACAAGCCTCCCAGTCTCTAGCCTTCCAGTCACCTCAAGCCTCCCAGTCTCTAGCCTCCCAGTCTCTAGCCTCCCAGTCTCTAGCCTCCCAGTCTCTAGCCTCCCAGTCTCTAGCCTCCCAGTCTCTAGCCTCCCAGTCTCTAGCCTCCCAGTCTCTAGCCTCCCAGTCTCTAGCCTCCCAGTCTCTAGCCTCCCAGTCTCTAGCCTCCCAGTCTCTAGCCTCCCAGTCTCTAGCCTCCCAGTCTCTAGCCTCCCAGTCTCTAGCCTCCCAGTCTCTAGCCTCCCAGTCTCTAGCCTCCCAGTCTCTAGCCTCCCAGTCACCTCAAGCCTTCCAGTCACCTCAAGCCTCCCAGTCTCTAGCCTTCCAGTCACCTCAAGCCTCCCAGTCTCTAGCCTTCCAGTCACCTCAAGCCTCCCAGTCTCTAGCCTTCCAGTCACCTCAAGCCTCCCAGTCTCTAGCCTTCCAGTCACCTCAAGCCTTCCAGTCACTTCAAGCCTCCCAGTTTGACGTTCCCCAGTCTATGTCCCCTCAAGTTCCCCAGTCTGAAGTTCCCCAGTCTACGTCCCCTCAAGTTCCCCAGGCTGACGTTCCCCAGTCTACGTCCCCTCAAGTTCCCCAGGCTGACGTTCCCCAGTCTACGTCCCCTCAAGTTCCCCAGGCTGACGTTCCCCAGTCTACATCCCCTCAAGTTCCCCAGTCTGACGTTCCCCAGTCTACGCCCCCTCAAGTTCCCCAGTCTGAAGTTCCCCAGTCTGTGTCCCCTCAAGTTCCCCAGTCTGAAGTTCCCCAGTCTGTGTCCCCTCGTAGTCGTGGTCTTTGTCCAGAGTCCCCTGTTAGTAGTGGTCCTGTGTCCCCTCTTAGTCATGGTCTTTGTCCAGTGTCCCCTGTCGGTGGTGATCCTGTGTCCCCTCTTAGTCTTGGTCTTGATCCTGTGTCCCCTCTTAGTCTTAGTCTTGATCCTGTGTCCCCTCTTAGTCTTAGTCTTGATCCTGTGTCCCCTCTTAGTTTTAGTCTTGGTCCTGTGTCCCCTCTCAGTCTTAGTCTTGGTCCAGTTTTCCCTCTCAGTCTTAGTCTTGGTCCAGTTTCCCCTATCACCACACTCCTACAGTCCAGGCTCCTGGTTCCCCGTCGCCGGCCCCCCAGGCTGACACAGTCCAGGCTCCTGGTTCCCCGTCGCCGGCCCCCCAGACTCCTACAGTCCAGGCTCCTGGTTCCCCGTCGCCGGCCCCCCAGACTCCTACAGTCCCAGCTCCTGGTTCCCCGTCGCCGGCCCCCCAGACTCTTCTGTTCCCTCCTCGCCCGCCCCTTTTTGGGTTGTGTTTTGTTTGCTCCCTCCTCTCCCTCCCTCTGGTTGTTTCGTGTCTGGTTTTGGTCTTGTCTTTTGCTTGTGGTGTTTGTCTGTCTTATGGTCGTCTGGTATCCGCCCTTAGAGGGGGGGGTACTGTCATGGTCTGCGTCTGTCTTCCCCATGTGTCTCCTGGTGTCCTCCATCCCTCTCTAGATTCCCTCTTGTGTCTCTTTGTTCCCCAGCTCCTCTTGTGCTCCACTCCATGTTCTCCCCTTGTGTTGTAGCCCTTTAGCGCCCTCATGTGTCCTTGTCTGTATCCCTGTTGTGTGTCTTATGCTGTAGCTCTTTGGCGCCCTCATGTGTCCTTTTTCTGCGTGTCAGTTTAGTGTCTTATGTTTATAGTCCTTTAAGTCTAGTCCTCCCAGGTTTTGTGTCATCTCATTCTTCCCCAGGTCCTCCAGGTCTCGTTTACATTCTGTGTCCTTGTAGTCCCCAGCTTCCTTGTCCCCAGCTCAACGTGTGTGTGTGAGATCCAGTCTCCTGCTCAGTTTGTGTGTTTGTGTGTGTGTGTGTGTGTTGTTCTGTGTGTGTGTGTGCTTGTCCATTCCCCTTTCCCGTTTATATATTAGTGCCTTGGTGTGTGTGTATTAGTCCTTCCCGCAGCCTTTAGATTTAGTTTTGGTGTCTTAGAGTTTCTTAGGTTTATTTGGCCCTCCTCTGTTTCTGTTTGCCCATTTTGATTATTAGGTTCACCTGTCTTCCCTCCAGCTCTCACTTCACACACCTGCTCCCATTTTCCCTAATCACTTCTCCCAGCGTATTTAAGCCCTGTCTGTCTCTGTGTTCTTGTCGGTCCATTGAATGTTTGTTATTCTGTCAGTCTCGTCTCGTTTGGATTACCAGTGTTCTTTGCCCCTTGGACTTTCTAGAGTTTTTGATCTCCAGAGCTTATCTGGAATTTTGGACTTCTGGCTCGCTGCCTGGATTTACTTTTGTTCCGCCTTCAAAATAAAGAATTTTACTTTTTCATCATCTCTGCCTCGTGTCATCCTGGGTAACTGCATATTTGGGTCCTAACATCCTCAGAACGTGACACCTGTAGGCCTCCTTCTTCAGCCTGACGTCTTCCCGAACCTCTGGTGTCCACCAGCGGGTACGGGGGTTGCCACCACGACTGGCACCGGCCACCTTGTGACCACAGCTCGCAACAGCCGCCTCAACAATCGCAGAGTGGAACAAGGCCCACTCGGAGTCAATGTCCCCCAGTGAATGTAAAAATAAAATACTTCTTTGGATTTTGACATCAAACACATTTTTGGAGTTTTGGTAAACAGTTGAAAAACAGACAGTTTAAACAAACACAGAACATGCGTGATTTGCATTTTTTCTCATTTCTAGGAGTAATATATTTTTCAAATTCCTCAAAAAATGGATAAGAAAACAAAACAGTCCAATAAATTCTGCAGCTTTGTGGTTTGACACCCTTTAATCTAGTATCAAGGTAAGCTACTTGTTCTACAGCAGAACCCTTCAGTACTACATGAGTCAGTCTTCACCCTCCTGCAGCATTAACAAGCTGTGCTGCCCCTCACTCTGTCACCAGATTCAAGACACTAACACCTGCATACTAATTACATATGTGCAGTCATTTCCTTTGCTTATTTTTCTTCTTCGGTATTCTAAACGTTTACTTCCTGCCCAACCTACATCTAACCTGTGAGTCAGAACCTGGTCAGGGCCTTAGACTGTGACTGTGGACATCTTGTACTTTCTAGGTGCTTTAGTTGGATGTGATAAGGCATTCAAATATTAAATTTAATAGCAAAAAATGAATGCATGAAGAAATCTGAATCTTGGTGCATCAACATTATTATCATTTTCATGGATGAAAGAGAAAGTGGCAGCTAGTTACTGAATGAAAAGTGGATTGAAGGAAAGACAGAGCTGGCGTGTTGCAGTGAGGCAGGAAGGAGCATCAAAGGATCTCACTGACAAACCTATACAACCAGTCAGCTGGGCCAGTGAGCGTGTGTGTGTGTGTGTGTGTGTGTGTGTGTGTGTGTGTGTGTGTGTGTGTGTGTGTGTGTGTGTGTGTGTGTGTGTGTGTGTGTGTGTGTGTGTGTTCTTTTCTCCTACTTCACCTGCTCCGTGTGTCTGCATTGTTACAAAACTCTCGCTCTGTCACTCACACACACACACACACACACACACACGCACACACACACACACACACACACACACACACACACACACACACACACACACACACACACACACACATCAACGCTTTCACATCAAACAGCGGTCAGCAGAAAAAAAATCAAAAGAGCAACAAGTAGCAAAAGCAAACATACAACAAATAATTCAAAACTCAAAGCTAACATGGCCGCCTTGAACAATGATCTTCTGAAGAGAGGTTTGATTTTTTTCACCTCCATTTTTTTTCCTATTTGTGTCTTTCTGCACTTAAACAAGCAATCATTTTATTGAAATCCAGAATACATTTATCCACTATTAACGTTGTTATGGGGAAAATTTGCAGCCAATCAGATTCTTACTTCCTTTTTTGGCTGCTGCAACTGTTCTTCTGCAGCAGTCACAATCTTTTGACATAAAATGCTGCAGAAAGACGCCAAATTAAAGCCCAAAAGGCATGGGGCGTGATGCAAAAAATATGTATTTCAGCTCTTGACACTATCAATTTGGACGTACCTGCTCTATCAATCTGCTGGTGGGCGAATAAAAACAGTTAAAGATCAGCAGAAGGCAGGTTGATGAAATCACTCATTCAAATACAACATCAACGCTGTCAGATGTTAACCAGACCAAGTGACAAACACTGTGGCATAGCCTAATAGTGACTCCTAACATCGTTGCAGCAAAGTCCTGATCCGTTTGTTTTTGGAGTCTGACCGACAGAGAGAGACAGTGTGAGCAGCAGGTGGACAGACAACAGCGGCTGTGTGAGACATGGTTTATGTGGGACACTGCAGTCGTGTCCTTCAGGCCCCTGAATGCTTTTTGCTCACACTTTTTGGGCATTGATGTTCATGCATAAGCATGACCAGACAAACCCACACTGAGACAGTCACAGAGGAGCAGGGAAAGACACAAATGGACACAGATGGCTTTGTTTTCGGTGGCTCCACAGCTCCCCTGTGTGGTCAGCTTGAGAGCACACACACACACACACACACACACACACACACACACGGTTCACATGGGAACAGTTTGACACTGAAGTACTTACCTCCAAGGTCACAAATGTCCTTGAAAGGTGAAAGATCAAAGGCCGTGACCACGGCTTTGCCACAGATGTTCCAGATGTAGTTCATCATCTGCATAAATCTCACCATTTCCTCATCAGAACTACAAACACAATCACACAGAGACAAAAATATATTCTGCTATCTTTGTTCCCGGTTATGCCCCAGCACAAGACTCGTTATCATTCCCTGTAATGTGTTACCTAGGGGGTGATGAAAACACACACCCTTCACATAGAAAATCCCAACAGCGCCATGGCACGTGTGTGTGTGTGTGTGTGTGTGTGTGTGTGTGTGTGTGTGTGTGTGTGTGTGTGTGTGTGTGTGTGTGTGTGTGTGTGTGTGTGTGTGTGTGTGTGTGTGTGTGTGTGTGTGTGTGTGTGTGTGTGCGTTGTGTTTGACAGACAGGGTGTGACAGAACAGAAGAGCCTGTGGTGAGCGCTGCTGCTCTGAGGAATCTCCACCTTATCAAGCAGAACCACAATGAGGGCAACGCACACACACACACACACACACACACACACACACACACACACACACACACACACACACACACACACACACACAGTTTTTAACTTCACTTTAGCTAAACGCCCAGTCACGATACTGAAACTAACTTCATAAATTTTAAAGTGCCTTATTGTTTGCTTCAGACCCTGATTGTACTGGATGTGAAAAGATAAAATGACTGAGTCCAAACAGAGGATTGTCAGCTTAAATCTGAATGCTTTTGGAGTACAAGACACCAGAAAAACCCTCAAACCAGCTTATTTAGCTGTTTTCTTTTCATTTTTATTCTAAAAGTGCATTTAATACTACACTATAGTTGAACCTGAATTGGTGCTACAGTAAGGGACGAGCATTTGTTCATCAATTTTATGTAAAAGCACAACAAATATATTCATTACTGTATCATTTCACATCATTAGAACTACCGCTTTGACTCATCAAGGCATATCAACACGAGATCCCTTAGGCAGGCAAAGACGGCAATTGCCCAAGGCACTCAGGCCAAAAGGGGGCCCCAAAGGGCCAAAAAAACTTCAATCCTAATCCTATCCAGATTTATTTATATAGCACATTTAACAACAGCATGACAGCTGGCCAAAGGGCTTGACATACAATAAAAGGAAACAAGATAAAATTGTCGAATCCAGAGGTAGAAAAAGAACTTAGTAAATATGCGGTAATGGCTAAAAACTTTAGTAAAATCAACTAGGGATGTAACGATAGCACTTTTTCCCAAACCGAGACAATACTTGGATCTGAGTACTCGCTGATACCAATTACCGATGCCGATACTTCTACCACACAAAAAAATGCAATGAATTGGAATACAAGTTTTATTTTCTTCTCTGCTTTCAACAGGAAAAGACTGTGAGGTAAATGAAAAATAAAATATGTTAATAGAATGTGTTAGAAAACTAAAATATTTGGTGAACAGAAATGACAAGTTACAGAGAAGCCACTTTCAGGCAACTGTGTTGGTATCGGTTCCTGGTATCGGTTAACTTGGTGCATCCCTAAAATCAACACCAAAAAGTGCTAAAAACAACATAAAAATATTTTTAAAAAAATGTTTTATTTAAAAGAGAACAAAGTATGAAATGATAAAGACTCATAAAAAAATCACACCAGCTAGGCCTGTCCATAGGCTCAAGAACCAAAAGCGATGTTGAGTTTTGAGGCCAGATTTAAACAAATCGATAAATGTAGCCGAACAAACCCAGAGTAGCAGGCTAATCCAAAGCTTCGGAGCCGCGTGAACAAATGTACGTTCACCACGAGTCTTGTACCGCATCTTTGGAAATCTGACCCGCCAAAGTAGTGAGACAAACCTGTCATTTGACAGCACCGCTGGCTATCTCACGTTCTGCGCCGGGCAACAACACCGTTCCCTTGGGGTGCCTTGCAGTACCACTGAATTTACAATAGAATAAAATAGAAGAGACTTTATTGATCCCACAGGGAAATTCACTTGCTACGGCACAAGCACGTAGAAAAAAGGAAGATGAAAAATTATAACAAGATTACAGGTGAACACACAAAAGCAATGGGACTTTAAATTTTATGGACCTTTCTCAGTGGTCTAGTGGTAGAGTGTCCGCCCTGAGACTGGGAGATCAGGGGTTCGATTCCTGGTCGGGTCATGCCAAAGACTTTGAAAAAATGGGACCCAATGCCTCCCTGCTTGACACTCAGCATTAAGGTTGGATTGGGGGGTTAAACCACCAAATAGTTCCCGAGTGCGGCTGTGTCTGCAGCTCACCGCTCCTCCAGGGGATGGGTCAAATACGGAGAACAAATTTCGCACACACACCTGTGTGTGTGACAACTAATGGGACTTTAAGCAGTAAGCTATTATTGTACCCTTCATCTACTAAAAACAACAGATAAAGTCGTTATGCTGATCTTGGCCCTCTTTCTCCCTACTCAAAACCAGTTGTTACCAGTTTGGGAGTGAAAATTGATGCTGGACTTACATTTGAGGCTAACATCAACTCAGTGATCCAGTCCAGTTTCTATCACCTGAGACGCCTTGCAAATATCAAGCCTATGCTGTCGAGAGCCCACCTAGAGCGGGTACTGCATGCATTTGTTAGTTCTAGGCTTGATTACTGCAACTCTCTATATGCAGGGTTGTGTCAGTCATCACTGCGTCGCCTACAGGTTGTGCAGAACAGCGCAGCCAGGTTCCTGACTGGGACCAGGAAACGGGACCACATCAGTCCGGTTCTGGCCTCCCTGTACTGGCTTCCTGTTTGCTATCGTGCACAATTCAAAATCCTCGTCTTTGTTTATCATTTCTTCCAGGGAGGTGCTCCCCCCTATCTGGCCACACTCCTGAACAGACATTCCCCATCACGCGCTCTGCGCTCCTCTGACCAAGGCCTGCTAGCTGTCCCTCGGTCTAGGTGTCGTACACGTGGGGACCGGGCTTTCTCAGTCCTAGCACCGTCACTCTGGAACCAGTTGCCAGCCTCAGTTAGGCTGTCCCCATCTCTGCCAGCCTTTAAGAGTCGCCTAAAAACACACCTCCTCCGCTTGGCGTTTCCTGAATATGTTTGATTCGACCCTCTTTTACGTTGAATTTCTTTCACAGTTTTCACTGGTTCACTCTATCTCTTGTTTTACCCATCTGTCCTGTACTAGAATGTTTCACCTTTTTCTGTATTTAGTAATTTAATTTGCTTTTATTTTTGAATTGCTTTTATTTTTGATTTATTCAATATATTTGTACTTCTACTGTACCATGTTCAGCGCCTTGGGCTTCCTGACAGGGCTGCGGAAGGCGCTTTATAAATAAAGCTTTGATTGATTGATTGATTGATTGATTGATTGATTGATTGATTGATAAAAGGGAAAGTTGTGTTTCCAGAACTAAACTACATTTCACAGCAGCCGTGGATAAAATAGAAATCCTAATATGTTGAAATACAAAATAAACTCTGAATATTATTCGTTTTACGCTCTTTTATTATTGAAGTTGAGACATCCTTCAATTGACGACTTTAGTAATTAAACTTTTAATTGTTTGTCTGTTAAAAATACAACCTACTCTGGCTGCTTCCTGTCTCAGGATATGAGACAACAGACTGACTGGATTCGCACACCCTTCCTGAACATGTCTGATCTCATAGAATACTATAAAAGTGGCCAGAAACTTTGATTTTAAGAGAAGTGTGTAATGTGCAAAAAATAAATGACAGCAAAAGCTTATGAGCTTTTTCGTTTTAATCAAACACCCACCAAATCTAGAAAAACCAACATCCATCCATCCATCCATCCATTGTCTGGACCCGCTTTGTCCACCTAGGGTAGCGGGGGGGCCGGTGCCTATCTCCAGCAGTCAATGGGCAATCAGGTGGGGTACACCCTGGACAGAGAGCCAGTCCATCGAAGGGCAAGAAAAACCAACAAAATTCCAAAATTCTATTTATTCTATGATTTTTCTTTCCATCTCTTTTCTGCTGTCCCAAGTTTAATAACTGAAGCTGCAAAAGAGACCTGGCTGTGAATAATTCAGGTGCAAGTGCATGAGCGGTTAAATGGTGACGGGTGAGCAGGAGCCGGAGTCATCCGGCTGACTTTGGATCACCCCGCTCCTGCTGCAGAGCTCCACGAATGCAGCCGATGACTTCACTGCTTGTTTTTCCTCGCTAATTCATCCATGGGACTCGCAGAGGAAATCACCAGGGAGCAACAACTGCTTCTCCGTGTTAACTCAGCTGTGCACAGGTGGAGAAACTCTTCTTGGATGGTGTTTTCATTTTAATGCAACGCCGCAATGCAAATTGATGCATTTGCAGTGCAGTTTGTTCACTTATTCTCATTTTGCATGCATATTTCATACCACTTTCTATAAAGAATGTTACAGGATTAAAATGAAATAATGTAATCAAAAACTTAGAGAACAGAGGATAAAATGGTAATTCTGTACTCCTATGCTACTATTTCTGTCCGATTTCCCTCCATATTCCATATTTTTGCTACTTTAGATGGAAGTTTATGTCCTTTGGGTTTGTTTTAAAGCCTTCAGGCAGGCAGATCAAAGTCTTTTAGCAAACAAATTGTGATTTTGTGTGTGCATTTGTGTGTAACGACCCCTAAAAACTGCTGATCAGCAGATCGGTGAAGCGTTAAAACTGAGGGCACTGGATGATATGAACACACCAGACCTTTAGGATAATGGCAGACATACTTGTTTCCTTCCCTTTCTGCCAAGAGCTTCCTCACATCCCTACTCCAGCTGCTTCTCTTATTCCCGCTGTCTCCATCTCACAGTTACTGCCTTCTAATGAATCCAACAAGCCTCTTTTTTAGGAGGGAAGAGGGGAAACGTGACAGACAGGCTCACGCGGGGAGACAGGGATGGAATATAAATGTGTTCCACGTGTTTGTGTCGGGAAGTCTTGCAGCTTCTCACCTGTAGATAGCTTGAAACAGGTCTTTTGAGCTGACTCCAAACGCCTTTTCATACTGATTCCTTCCTTCTCTGAGAAGAAAACAAAACGACAAAGCGTTTGAATCCATAACCGAAAGGAATAAACAAAAATAAAACTATCTGTTTCACTTTTTTGATTTTATTTCTTTTTTTGGTTTTTAAACAGAAATCAAGGGCTGAAGTCTGCTTTTATTGAGTTGCATTTGTTTTACAGCTCGTCACTGCCCACTAGTGGTTGACTCCTCGCTATTCATGGGCAAGATTTCTCAACTCTGTATCACTGCAGCCCTGCAAAAGGGGAGCAAAGACACTTTATGTTTCATGAAAACAATATGCAATGCAATAAATGTCAATTGTTTTATGCAGTTTTTTTATTAGGAAAATACTGCAATTAACTTTTGTTTTAATTTTACACTAAAGAGCAACATTTGTGTGTTCAAGCGTAGATTTAACTGTCACTCAGACATCACTCCAGCTATGTGGGATTAGTAGTACCTCACAAACATGAAAACACATATTGTTTGTGAATCCTTTGTGGTAAAAAGTAAATATCACAATAACTGTTTTGAATTACAAATTAAAAGCACATGTCTCAGGTAAACAAGATAACATATTGGTGCATTAGCTTAGATAACACATTTTTCCTTTAAAGATTAAGTTCACTGGTTTAATAAATCAATTTGCTGTGTGGAAAAAAAGCTCTGGTGCTCCTGTTTCAGGAAGTAGAAGTGAGCCAGAGCAACCCTAACCAGTACTCCCACTGCGCCAAATGCCCTTCTGTGAAGTGCACTTGGAGAAAGTGTGCAGTAAGGCTTCAAGCGCGTACACAAATGTGCCAAATTGAAAAAGGGATCATTCTGTCATCGAACACGATGCATGCTAGGATGCCGGTCGCTGTTTGTGATACTTTTAAAAAAAAAGTTTGTTTATTAACAACTTTCAATTATTTGACTAAATTTTAATTAATTGTTGTCAAAATTAAATCTTAGTCTGAAACATTCAGAGCATGATTAAATATAATTAATCATCTTAAATTAACTTCTTTCATGTGAAAATACATATTTTCACAAAAGGAACTTGAGCCATTGCTCAACCTTTTCCTCAAACTTCCCACCCGGCCATGGATTGTGGGTAATACCCTTGCCCAAAGTCCGCATCGATGTGGACTTGGGCGAAGTGCGGATCAAGGGTGCAACAGGGTCATAGTCTCTTTTGCACTTGAGAATCGGGATACCCTACGCACTCACACCTATGGGCAGGAATGCACATTTGAAGGGTGGAAGTGCGAGTATTGGGACTGGGTTTGGAGTATTGTTTCCTGATATTCGGACATCTCGCCTCTGATTGGCTAACAGCAGCGCAACTACTTGCAACATAGACGTTTTACCTCCACAAATAACAAGCCTTAACCCTTTAGGACCTAGGCCTTTTTTCTTTGGGCCCTGGCGCCTCCCAACTGGGGACCTTTGGAGTTTCATGTCCCAAGTGTCAGTGATTGTTTGCATTCCCCGAGCACAGCTACAGCTACAATCAAAACAGTTTAGATTGTAAACAAAGAAAACTTTGGTTTTTGATACATTAAGATAAAATAATACTTGAACTTTATTTTAGAAGAGCTGCCCTGTGTGAAAGTGCAGACAGGATGGAGGTTGTGAGTTCAAATTCCATTTAGGAAATTTAGCCAATTGTTTTATTTATTCCAGGGGTCCTCAACTACATTTGTTCAATGGTTTTTTCCCCCAGCAGACACCAGAGAAGGTCAGATGCTCTTATAAAATAAAGTTCAAATATCATTGCATCTTAATTCATTACAGTTTAAAATGGCCTTGTTTCACATCTGGGCTGTTTGTGGTTTCAGTTGTGTTTGGAGAATGTGGACAGTTGTAGATGTTTGGGACCTGAAACTGTAGAGGTCCCCAACTGGGGGGTGTTAGGGTTAAACAGGAGTTCTGCTGTGTTGTAGAGTTGCTAATGCTAACAGTTAGCTTCAACTGGCCGAGACGTTCTCTGATGTTTCCTGGACGCTAAACCAACAACAGTCTTCCCCGTCGTGAGTCAAGATGGGTGACGCAAATATGTGTGGCTTTTTCTGATCTGAGCGTTTCCTCGTCTACTTTTATGGATGAGGATTAGAGCCACTGAAAAATTAAAAGGGAAAGAAATAGAATCCTTTTGCAGAATTCTGACATTTTTTCTCAGGATTACTAAAGTTAGAATTCTGAGAATAAAGTTTTTTTAATTATTTTTTTTTCAGTCGCCCTAATCATCTTCCGTATTATTTCTATCAGAAGCTAATGCAGGAATTCGGGGTAGAAGGCTATTTTCACATTTAGCCTGCATGTTAAACTCAGAGTGACAAATCGTACTTAAAAAAGAACAAGTAAAAAAAAGTTTCTCAGTGAACTTGGTCTTTAAAAAAAAGTCAGGAAAACAAACTGAACTGCCAGATAAGTTAAACTGACTAAAATGTAGTTTTAGGGCTTAGAGCTCTAACCTGACAGCGTCAGTGAGATAGTTCCAGCAGCGGTAGATGGTCTTGGAGCTGTACTGGGTGCAGTGGTAGAGGGAGCGAGGACTGGAGCTGGTGAGGTAGACACGAGCCTGATTCGTGTTGCTGTAAAACACTGAGACAGTGGGAGGAAGATGGACACATTTAGTGTGATTTAATTGGTGCAGAGTGATGTTGACCTTTTATTTTTGTCATAAACGAGCAGATAAAACTTCCATTCGAATGTTAGTGTACATGACATGGCAATAAAATAAAGATACAAAGATTTTCTTCGAGTGACGAAAGTTAATTTGATGTCATGATCTTTTTAGTTGTAAATTGTAAAGTCTTCTGTGTTCTGACCTTGTTCTCCATCTTGGTGCACGTTGAGCAGCTGCAGGCCGCCGCAGGCAGCCAGCAGCCGCTGCGTGCCGTCCAGACTGGCGCCCACTGCCTGACTGATCTCCTCCGCTGACATGGGACGCTCTGCGGCCAGTAACACGTCAAACACGCCCAGTTCACAGGCAGTGAACACTGTCTGGGTCACAGGGAGACAAAATAATTGATGTGGGGAAGAATTACGTCACAGTTACAGAACAATGTTGCAGACAAAAAGTAAATCCAATGAAAGCTGAAATGATCAAATAACTCTGAAATGACTGATGGATACTTGAGCACAGGTTCAGGTTCAGCTCTCATAAAGGTCGAGAGGTCCAGCAGGAATCATGGAGAACTTCGTTTTGTGAGGAAGATGCTAAGAATGATGAATATCAGCTTTTTCACTGAAATATTGATCTAACTTTTAAATTTGCATACCAACTTCAACTGATCCCAATTTATGCACACACACACGAAAAAAAAACCATCACATAGCTCATAACCTTAAACATTATCTGTGCAGAATTTGGCTGGTTGTCCAAAACCAGAGGCGGAGCTAGCCTAAATGGCACCCTGTGCGAGAACCCTCTGTGCCCCCCCCCCCCCCCCCCCCCCCCCGTGCACAAGAACAAAAATTACACCTACAACTTTGTTGTTTATTATCATCACTCATCACCATTATTATTATGAAGAACATGCTATTTCTATGTTTTGTTCATGTATTGGTTGATGCTAAAAAAATGAAAGGAAATTAAATGCCGACTGCCACCCTGTTTGGCCGCACATGTTGCACATATCAAGGTCCGCCCCTGTCCAAAACAAAAATGTCTCAAAAGCTAAACTAAAAACTAAACCTCGGATCTGTCATGTTTTGATGTATCTGAAGAGTTTGATGCATCATTTGTATGTGTGTAAAATTTGTGTCATTAAACGAGTAAAAGCCGATACCGATCATCTATGATAATACAGTTTAATCCCAGCATCAGCCGACAATATCAAGCAACCCTAGAAAATTCTACACAAAATGTTAAAAGGAGCTTCAAAAGTTAGATAAAAGGTTTCAGAAACTCATTTTAGGTCGGCTTGAGCAAAAGCTAATGAATTTAAGCCACTGAACGTAAATGTTAAGTAAAAATTGATATTATTATTGAATTGATATTAACGTCTTGACTGCTAAAACATCTGGTGCTTCATTAAGAATGATTAAACGCAGGTTCATCCTGTTGCTAGTCTCCATCAGTCTCCACAGGGAGGACTTGACCTCGCCTCAGACCAGGTTGGTCTGATTTATCAGTAACTCTCCCATGGGAGACTCTCTGTTGAATGAAGGCACCTGGGTTGGTATGAAGGAAATGCGACCTTCTTTTCACTCCCTATGTTAAACAGCTTTCCACCTGACGGAGTAGGTTTGAAATGTGATGTGTGTGTGCGTTGTGACTGTAACTCTAACTCGAGAAGGCCCTGCCTTCTTCGTCCTGTCTTTTCAATAAATCATGCTGTGGGACACGGAGGAGCGGAGAAGGATGGCGGAGACCCGGAGGGGTTTTTGCCATGTCTCCCCTCCGCTGCTCTGGCCATACAGCGTAAAATGCATTCCCCTGTGTGTTTATTTCAGGTTTACAGGTTAAGGTATATAAAAATAACCTAACATTTAAAGTATGAATATTTTACCTTGGAGATGTAGAAGCCATGCAAGTATTCCAGTATTTTTGTAGGGAACTCGTCTGCAGGTGGGTCCCCTTCAGTGGGGCTCAGATCTTGGCGAGCAGCCATAGTCAGATCCGGAGATCCTTCAGGAGGACTAAAGAGCTCACCCTAGTGAGGAGCACTTTCCTCTGAGTGGCTCTCCAGAAAGAAGCAGACTGAACCCAAAGCCGATGCCCACCCAGCTCAGCAGCCGTGGGCTAAGCGGATTAGATCCAGATAACCCAGATTAGCACGAGGGCTCAGGGCGACGGACAAAGGAATAACTCTGTGGAAACAATGCTGCCTTGTTCATCACCACTGACCCACTTGATTCCCATACCTGGCCTGCTTTTAAAAGTTCATGTGATCAGCACTGAAGACCGGTCCTTCAGATTTTCACCCCTTTAGAATCACGTTCCTTAAGATCAGAGTTCACACTCCTAAAGGCATCGCTCGTGGATCAAGCGTGTGATTACGGATCAATTTAGCAGGAAAATGTAAAACGTTTAAGGATGTGTGCTCCTCTCTAACAAAAATCATCCAACGCATTTGTCTCCTTTACATTTTTATTTTTAATCACTTCCAGTGTTTTCCAAGACATGTTCTAGAAGATCACAAGCATGAACAACAAAATTGTTTCAGTAAATTAGACCTTTTCAAAGTTTCTACAATTTAATGAATGAATGAAGACGTTTCAACAGAAATACAGGCTTCTTTAGGTTTAAAAAAACATGTTTGTTTTATGCTTAAATCGAGCACACTTGTTCCATAAAAAGCATTCGAGGACGTTTAAAACTTCATGCTGAGAGCGGAGTTTGTGTTTTAGTGACGCTGCAGCTGTGACTGAGTAGGCTTGTTACATCAAACATAAAATAGAGATTTTTTTTCTCCTTTTCTTAAAGCTTTATGGTTTCTTGTTCTTTTCAGGCGACAAAAAAAGCAGAAATGTTCCAAAGCAGGTTTCAGTCGACAAAAATTCCTTAATCCACTCTTACTAAACCAGATGTTGAACCTTTTCGGTTTATTTTAAAAGAAATCATTTTGTCTTTCAGAACAAGTATGAATACTTTTTAATCGAACGGATCAAAAACACTTAGAAAGCGTGAGTGAACGACCGCGTGGAGGCCGTCAGCGTCGTCTGGAGTAGCTTCTGTCCCTGCTGCTGCTGTGTCGGCAATATCTCCGATGGCTTGGACTTCTGCGGTCTCTGCTTTTATTACTGCTCCTAGATCTACGTCTGCTGTATCTGTGGTGACTGTGCCGGTGGCTCCTCCCCCTGCTGTAGCTCCTCCCACTGCTGCTCCTGCTTCTGCTGGAGCTGGAGCTGCTGCGCCTCCTACTGCTCCTCCTGTGACGGCTGTAACTACGTCTGCGGTAACTTGAGCTCCTTCTTCTTCTGTTGTAGCTGTGAGAACGCCTACTCCTCCCACGACTGTGTGAGCGTTTCACTCGGTGGCAGCGGCCCTTCGCTCCGTCTCTGCTGCGCCTGCTCTGAACCAACTCTTCCTTCCTGTCGACGCCTCTCTTCTTCTCCTTGGATTTGGTTTTCCCTAAAACCTCAGAGTTGGGTTTAGAAGCCTGCTTCTCCTTGCTTTCCTCCGTCATCACGCCGTTCACCTGACCCATGGCCCCCAGCGTCACGTCGCCCAAATCAGAAGCCCCTACCCCTGTTAGATGACCAACACAGCCCTGCGCGTCTGCAGCTTCAGTTGCCTCCTCGCTGCTCTTCTTGATCAGGTTGCACAGAAGCTTCTCCCTCAGCTCCTTCTCTCTGCGTTGGAGCTCCAGCGCTCGATGCTTCTCCACCTCCACTCGGCGTAGCTCCTCCTCCTGCTTGCGCCGACAGGCCTCCAGCTGCTGCAGGCGGGCCAGCTCCTCATTTTGTCGCGCCTGCTCCTGCCTTTCCCGCTCCTTACGTTCAGCTCTCTCGATCTCCTGCTGCTGCTGCTTCAGCATCTGTGGAGAGTAACCAGTATAATGTTAAACTACAGAAAACCGAGCTTATAGGTGAGGGGAGGAGTTAGCTTCGCACTTTTACTCTGGCGAGCAGCTCGGCGACGAGTCGTATGGATTCCAGGTTGCGCTGAGCCAGCAGCAGCCTCCTCTCCTCCATAGCGATCTTCACCTGCAGCTTTTTCTGTTCCTGCTCCTGCTGCCTCTTCACCTTCTTCAGGTTCCTCCTCTCCTCCTTCTCCCGCAGCTTCTGCTCTCGTTTGCGTAACCGCTCCTCTTTCCTCCTCTCCTTCTCCGCCTCTTCCTGTTCCTTCTGTTTCCTGGAGAGTTTCAGCAAACTCCGTTAAAACGAACCTCACAAGTGAATCAAACCTAAAGACACGGATGTAGAGCTGCTCGATTATGGCAAAAATTAAATGTTGATTTTATTTGTTTTATTGGGTCGTAAAATTGTTTAGGGCACAATCAGGACAAAAATAAATAAGACAAAGAAAGAAACAAGATAATCACAAAAATAACTCCTGATTCCTAAAACAGACCAACACACTTGCTCATTGTTTATGACCCAAGGGCTACAAACCTTAACTCATGTAAGCCTAACCAGTACAGACCCAAATAGCAATATCATGCTAATACTGACAGCAATAATTATTCTGTGGCATTTATAACATGAATAAAAAAAATTATATATGTTTAGTGATGTTCACTAAATGCTGCATAATATTTATTTAGTCCCGTCAAAGTGCTGTAGGAGAGTACACTAGCGACGTCTCCTCAGTCTCAGAGAGACTAATTATTATTTATCAGCGTGAGGAACTTATTTCTACCTCATTTATAAACTATTTATTTACAGGTCCCATCAGTTAATGTAATAATTGTCCCAACCACAGCAACCGGAGGTGCGCTGTAACCCCCCACTCCCCAACCCCGTCTCGCAGCAATCAGGGGCAAGCTGCACGTGTATTTAGGGTGCCGCACGCGCACATTTTGCCGTTTTTAGCAGCTCGGGAGCCTGCAGGCACAGAGTGTCACTCACTCCGGTTAATCCAAGAAGGAGCCGGCTCTGAGAGCCGTTTCTTTAGCGACCGACGCATCACTACATCATTCCATTTCCTAATGTCCTGAAGGATGGTCCAGTGCGCAGGCGGAGTGTTTTTCTAACCCGCAGGACATGTCGACGACAGTTATCCAGAAAGTAGCTAAGGGTTACCAGAAATGTTTCTGGGGTGTTGGCTAGGTACTTCTTAGGCCTAGTCCACACGTAGCCGGGGGTTTTTTTAAACGAATATCCGCCCCTCCAAAAACTTGCATCCACACCACTTCGTTTTAAAAACTCTGTCCACACGTACCCGGATAAATACGTTGTTAAGGACATGCCAGACCTGTAGGCGGCAGTACTTCCCCCGTTCTTAACCTCGTCCTTCGTCTGTGGTCTTCCGCAAGGAGCAGTAATTCCGCTTGCAAAAACAAACAAGCAAAAAGCGCTTGGACAAATGATAAAGCGAGCGCAGCTCTGAGGGCATCCATGCTGTTGGCTAGTGTAAACACAGGTCGCACACGTGATGTCAGCATTTTTTTGTCGCGGAAAGTGACGTTGCGGACCTTAAAACTCCGGTTTTGTCTGTCCACACGCAGACACCCAAAACGGAGAAAACGCAGATCTTCACTTTGGCCGGAGTTTTTAAAAAGATCAGTTTTCGTGTGAAAAAACTCCGTTTTCGTGTGGATGACAGGCCAAAACGTAGAAAAATATCTACGTTTAGGCAGATCCCCGGCTACGTGTGGACAGGGCCTTAGATTTAAACAGTCAAGAAGGGGGTTTGAAAATATCAGTCTGTTGGAAATAGCGACAAAGTCGCTAAGTTGGCAACTCTGTTTTGAGGAGCGCTTGATTTGTAACCCAGAGCAGCGCAAGAGGGAGGAGCAAATAATCGGCTTGTTTTATTTGTATAAACTGTTCAAAACTCAGATCGTAATTGGGATTATAATTCCGTTAATTGAGCAGCCCTACATGGATGTGCGATGACGGAGAGCATTGCCGAAACAGACGCAGCTCTTCCCCACCAACATTAAAAAGTAAACCCCTGGTTTGGAGTTATCTGGAACTCGTATTTATCGTATTTCTATCGTACCTCTCCTCCTCCTTTCGTCTCTCCTCCTCTTCTTTCTCCCGTCGTTTCTGCTCCTCTCGCTGCCGTTCCAGCTCCTGCAGTTTCTGCCTCTCTAGGCTCCTTCTCTTTATGGCTGCATCACTAAGATGTTTGCTGGTGTCAAAGGTCACCTGATTTAAAAAAAAAATGTGATTAGTGATTTTTATGCTTTTTTTTCTGGTCATTTAAAGATTTGTTTTACTCTTTTTCTTAGCAAAAAAAAAACAATAAGTCAAAAAGCATGAAGGAAGATGATAACGTGTTACAGGACCAGAAATACCAAACTGTTTTTATTTTTAATTATTTGAATCTTTGATCATTTAAGTAACTCAGAAGGTTTTATTTCTGCTGCTTCGGTTCTCATTTCCCTAAAAGCTCTTAAAGCTACTTTGTGATTAAACTCCACTTAGCTGTTATACCGCTGCAGCAATCCCAACTCACCTAACACAGGCAACAAGGTCGCTGCTGTGCCCTAAAACGGATTGTTTGTTTACATACTTAATCATTTGTATGTTTTTAGTAAACATCCTGTGGGCTCAGTTTGAAGAAATTCCTCACAGATAAACTGGATTAGTCTGTAACAGAGTTGCGTTTATTACATTTTCACGTGCTTTAATCAAACCCAGTATGATGGATGGTTTCATTGTTGACTTGTTAGCTGCAGATTAGGAGGTGGAATCGTTCTCCTTCAGTCCTCTCACAGTTTTGTCCGTTAGAAGTGAGGATTCCTAGTTTGTCCTATAATCTGTTACATTTAATGATTGTTAAAAAAAACATAACATAGTGTTTTATATTTAAGATAAACCAATATGTGTACAGGAGGGAATGTATTTAGAAGATGTAAATTCGGACTCCAGAAAACACAGGATCAGATGGTACTTCCTTGTGCAAGAAAATACGAGTGCTTGCTCTACTTAACGGTGGACGGTAGAATTGCAGGAAGAAAGTTCTGGGACGCATCCTCAGTAGCGTTCCTCTGGATCATGCGGTGTTTCGGCCTTTAAATACTATACACCCTACTCAGAGGCGGCCAGCTGTAGGTTGATCAGACCTCAGCTTGCGTCCCAAGTCCAATTAGACATTAAAGTGTGCAACCTGGCACACTACTTGGGGGCCCAAATGGGGTCATTCCTCTTCAGCCAGAGCCACTGGCTGCTTCTTTCTGCTGCCTCTTATGTAGCTTTGATGGCTCTGCGCCGTTTCTGGCCCATGATTCCTAGGTCCCCTTAATAGTTTTGTGGTAGATGTTCCCACAAACCCTCTGCACCCGACCTCCACTGGAAGACCTCCAGAGTATGTGCCGGAGGGAGGCTGGCTTGGAGCACAGGACGCACCCACGATCTTCACCAAACCACTGGTGGAGATTAGTTGGTGTTGGTAGGACATCATACGTGGCTCTGATGGAAAAGCTCAAGTTCCTAGCTTCCATGGCCCATACATCCCTCCAGCACAACTGTCCACAGTCCCTGTTTGCCAAGGGCGTCTGCCTTGGCCCACCTTGCAGATTCCTCCCGACGTCGCACCTCATCATCCACCACCATCTTCCTCCATGCTGGAGCAGTAGCAGTTCTCCAGGCTGGGCGGCTAGCTTTTAGTCCAAGGCCTCCCCTTCCAAGGTTAACGTTCCCCACAATGTCAGCATGTCTAAGAGCTGCCGTTGCCTCCTCTACTGCTATTGCTGGTCTCCATTTGCGCCCGGTAACCAGGTTTGGTACGTTTTCTCTGATCACCGGATCTGTGGTATCGTTCAAGGTCATCTGCAACCGTGCTCTGGCACACTTGAACTCTTCCGTAAGGCCGGTAAGTGGCAGCTTGAGGACACGATCTCCGTAGAGGCTAGTGGTGGTGAGGCAACGTGGAACTCCCAGCCATTTCTTGATGTATGCTGTGACTCTTCTCTCCAGCTTCTCTACTGTTGTGACGGGCACCTCATAGAGTGCCAAGGGCCACAGCACTGGGGGTAGAAGGCCAAAATGGAAGCACCAGGACTTGAGTTTCCCAGGTAGTTGGATTTTAACAATTGCCTGTAGGCCTGCATTGATGTCACTGCACAGTTGCTTCACCTGTTGTTTATCTTTCAGGCTTCCATCGTAGTACCTTATGAGACTTTTGACTGGCTGCTCAGATACAGTAGGAATCGGGTCATCACCGGTGACGAACTGCGAGTCAGTGTGCTCTCCCTTCACCACCGAGATGCTGCGTGACTTAGACAGTTTAATCTTCATATGGGCCCACGTGATGTTCTCCTCCAGTAAATAAATAATTGTTGTATTCTCAGTTAACTATTTTATCTAGTAAAGTTAAAGTCCCATTAGTCATCACACACCGGTGATGTTTTTCCTCCAGATTTGAACCATCCCCAGGGGGAGCGATGAGCTGCAGACACCAGGGAACCACTTCGTGGTTTATGTTTATTTATTTGGCAGACGCTTTTATCCAAATTTATAACCTATAGGGCATGTTGTGATCTGTGGGGGAAACCGGAGTACCCGGAGGAAACCCACGCATGCATGGGGAGATCACACAACTCCACGCAGAAAGGCCGCAGCCGAGTTACAAACCTGCAACCTTCGTGCTGCGATGCAAGAGTGCTAACAACTGCGCCACCATGCACCATGTTTAAATCAGGAGCATGATTTTTGACAGGCACCGACCGACGTAGCCATGTGACCCTGGTTTTGGCGCACCTTCATTGGCTACCACTAGCATTTAGAGTGCTGTTTGCTTATAAAGCTTTGAATAATCTGGCACCGACCTACCTATCGGACTTACTCACGCCCTATGTGCCACTGCAACTACGTTCAGCTGACCAAGTATTGCTTTGCACCCCGAAAATGCGCTACAAGTCAAGGGGGGAGCGAGCATTCATGTATGTAGCTACCATACTCTGGAATGCGCTGCCACTCACCATCCACTGGTGTTTTGAAGTCACACCTCTATAATAAGGCTATCAGATTGTGATTATTTATCTTTTTATTTGGCTGGTTTTAATGGCTTTTATCTGTTTGCTGTATTCTGTTTGTTATATCAGCAATTGCATGTTTCTGGTTTTATGTTGGGAGGCGCTTTGGTCAGCTCCCATGCGGTTTTTAAATGCGCCATATAAATAAATTTGGTATGGTAATATCACGATATATTGAGAATTTCACCTCGATAACAATAAATGGACGATAACTACAGGTATGCGCAGAAACGAAAGCTGTTCACTAGATGGGGCTGTCGCATCTATTATGTTGAGACATCATTACATTTCTCAAGGTGGTACAGCTTCTTAAAGGGACATGAATGTTGCCAACCCCCACACCCACGTCTCTAAAAACAACTGTAAAGGTTGAAATGCTAGTCCTTGACAGAGAACTGTTGTTTAGAGTTTATGTCATTTGATTTGATGAACTTTAAGCTCCAATAGCTGCAAAATGTTGAAGCAGCAGCAGGTTTCAAACACATATGCAGGTGCAAAATATATATTCAACCTCCTGATGGGGGAAAAAAAAACAACTAAAAAGGCTAACAGAAACAAATTCCACATTATGGGAAATGAGGCTTCAAAACCAATTCAGTACCTTGATGTTGCACGCCACCGCCTTTCCATCGTCTCCTTTCAGCATCAGCTTCATGCCACGCAGCGTGTCCATGGCTTTGGTGAAGCCGCAGTATTCTTGATACTGAACGTAAGATTCAAAGTTCAGATGACCTCCAAAGCTGAATGTACTGAAGTTTTTATCCAGCATCTCCTCCCTGTAGGGGTCCAGCATGGGGATGTCGACATGTCGCACCTAAAGCATGATATTTGATTCAGGACCCTTGTGTTGATAATACACCGAATCAATATTTTAAAGGAATTCATTTATATGTGTGTGTGTATGTGTGTATATATATATATATATATATATATATATATATATATATATATATACACATACATATATATATACATATACATACATATACATATATATATACACATATACATATACACACATATACATATATACATATACATACATATACACACATATACATATACACACATATACATACATATATATATATATACATATACATACATATATATATATATACATATACATACATACATATATATATATATATATATATATATATATATACATATATATATATATACATATACATACATACATATATATATATATATATATATATATATATATATATATATATATATATATATATATATATATATACATATACACATATACATACATACATATATATATATATATACACATATTACATACATATGTATGTATGTATATATATGTATGTATATATATAATTAAATGCCAAATCCCCCCGGCAAAGTGTGTCACTGAGAGTTTAAAACAAAAATTATTTTTGTGCAAATATTGGTGTATTCACCTTTAACACTAGTTATTAAAATGCAGCAGTTGCTGGATTAGTGCAGTTCAAAGTGGAGTGTATCAGATAAAACAATATTAACATAAAGGTGAGACGTGTCATAATACCTTGCCGAACGTCTGAAAAACAGACATGAGGACATCCTCTGAAGGCCGGTCGGGGAACTGGCTATCCTTATGGCTGAACCAGCGACATGGAAGCCCTTCCAGGTGGATAGTGTCGGGCCTCTCTCCAGGCAGAGTCTCGTTCATGTCTTTTGCATCTCGAAAAAAAGAGTCCCAGTCATGGCGCGTGGGGAAATCCATTTTGTTTTCTACTGCACGTACCTAGGGGGAGAAAAGCATCAGGTATAAAAGAAAAAATTAAAACTAAAAAGGACCCACACAGCAGTGAGTGTCAGCTTTACCTTCAGGACATCAGTAAATCCACTGAGTTTGATGGTTTTTCCATCCAGACGACTCAGCAGACTCTTGACCACCGTCTTGTTTTCCACTTCACCCTCAAAGCGGATGAAGTCCAAAGTGCTCTTGGAGATACGCAGAGCTGAAAACTGCTCTGGAGCCACCATGGCCTTTACCCTCTCCATCACCTCCCAGTTGGAGATGCTCTTGCCTGGCAGCTTGAGCTGAGGCAAAGCTACACTGACGGTCATTTTGGCAATGGGCTTCAGGTACAGGTTGTACTCAGCAGACAGACACACTGCCTCTGTGGTGTCGTGGACGATGGTGGTCATTCCTCCTAAAGTACGCAGATGCTGGGAAACAAAATATTAATAAAACAATAAAAAAGTTTTCTGGGAAATTCTCAAACGGTCAGGATTAAATATGACTAATAATCATTAAAATATATTTTTGTTGTTTTTCTCTTTTGCAAAATTGAAACTGATGGGAGTTTAAAGAGCAAGTCACCCCCTACCAGAGTCTTACTCCACTCCCAGTTCATATTTGAAAAATGCAAGAAATGCTGTTGGCTGACAGACCGAGAGGGCGGAGCCTAGGGTTGGGCGATTTGTACAATTTTTGCCACTGCCAATAGTCAGTCCAATAAATGACGATGGGCGATCTATTTGTGCATGTGACTCTGAGCAACGTCATGACTGATTACAATAGAAGTACAAACACTTGGGTTTTTTTTTGCAAATGTTTGCTGAAGGAGAAAGTTTGATTTTTCTTTTTATTTAATTTTGTATTTGTAGTTTGGTAGAGTGACGTATAAACAGCTCGTATTAAACACAGTTAAAATGTTAAAAAGAAGCCTCGTCTTTGCTTCTCTGCGGTGCCACTATTGGGGTATTTTATTTAAGCAAAAGGTTTTTTTTTTCCCTGAACAAAGGCTACTGGGTTTCTTTCTTTTATGACTGAGAAATGAAATTAATTGCTGCTGCAGTTGGACGGCCTCTTAGTAGAGAGCATTGCAGCCAGAGGTCACATGATCCAGTTATCCCCGTCACTTTCATTTTTGAAATAACAATCAGTCACAACATCACGTGGGATTTGAGAACAGGAAGGGGGAAGTGACTATTGTTTATATGTGATCAAACTTGCCGTCATGTTTTGTGAGACTAATTTATTAAATATGGGTAAGCACTAGGGTTGTCACGGTGTGAAATTTAACCTCACGGTTATTGTGACCAAAATTACCACGGTTTTCGGTATTATCGCGGTATTTTTTTAAACGTGCTACATTTTCACACAATTAAATAAACCCTGTATGTCAGGAAATATTGTCCTCAGTTTGTGTCTAAATTTTGCCTAAATGTGTTATTTTGTAATTATGTTGTTTATTTGTTTACATTTTTTCCCTTTAGTCTTTAAAATACCAATATTCGACCATAACTTCTTGTTTTATGTCTGTTTGATGTCATCATTTAAAAATATTAGATCAGATGATACTCAGTACTCAAGCAGCCTTCTAATCAGATACTTTTTTACCCTTACTTGAGTAATAAACCCTATATCAGGAAAATATTGTCCTCGGTTTGTGTCCTTCCAGTGAGCTTTGCAGATGTGGGAAAATGTCATCAGGCAGTAATCATTGTTAAATTCATAATTATTCTCGGAGAGAGACCAACTCTTATCTGCCCCTGGGAGCCCCGTAATGCATAGCGTCATTTCAACATGGGGGTGTCCGTGACACGGTTTATATGCAGGTAGCGGCGCTGCGGCTGCTTTATATAGCGACTCGTTGCATTCTCCCTCGACCCAAATCCTCGGACCACGCATTTTAGCTAAAACGCTAATGTTAGCTTGCCTTGCGTTGACTGTAGAGTTGTGGGTGATGGTCACGCAGATGTGTCATGAGATTTGAAGCGTTGCTGCCTTTCACAGATACTTTTTCTGCATGTACTGCAAACAGGATAGCCGTCTTCTATCAGCTGTCTCTCGGCATTCTTCAAATATCCAAAAGATGCCCGTACTTCCCACTTTGTCTTCTTTGAGGGATAAAAAATGTCCTCCTGAGTGCTGCCGTCTCCTCCCTTGGCCATTATTTCAGCTTTAGCTTCAAGAAAGTTTTGGTTGTAAACAATAAAGCGCGCCAGGCAACTTCAGCAGATGATACGGTGACTGATAAGGGTCACCGCGCCTACACCGCAGCCACGGTAAACCCACAGAGATAATATAGATTTTTTAAAAACAAGACGGTTATTATTACTGTCAACTTTTTTACCGAGGTTTACCGCTACACCGGTTACCATGACAACCCTAGTAAGTACGCTATTTATTAGAATACGTTAGGATCAACGCGGCGCTCTTCGCGTAGCCACTGTCATTAACTATAATGGCTTCTATTTAAAACTACGGAGCGGGCACGATGCAGCTCATCCATCTCCGGTGTGCCTGTGCCTTTAGGCCAAAGTTTTAAAATCAGGAAACATCTCTCCAAATTAAATAACCATAAGTCTTCCAGACTCTCTGAAAGAAAAGTTTCCACTTTCCACTCAACACTGTGTTCTTTTGCACGATGTTTATTGCATCACAGACACTCCCAGCTCCTATTCAGCGCGCCATGTAAGCAGCAAGATGCGGAATAAGTGAGAAATAATGCTCTGATGCACTGATGGAGATCTTTTTTTTCATCCCGCTGCTATGTTGTCTGTGCGCAACGTGTAAAATATCTGTCATTAACAAATGTATGCACAGCAAAACACATTGATAAATAAATAAGACAAATCGCCTCTAGTAATAAAAATCGCAATGGTTCAGCCCATTGCCGACGGTTGAAAAATTCACCCCATCGTCCAACCCCAGTGGAGCCACTAACACAAATACAGGCTCACAGTGGCACTGTGACATCATATGGTACCAGTTGACAACATCAGTACCTCTTAGCCAATAGGGATGGCAGGTTTAAATTGAAATGCAGTGCAGTTTTTACCTGATGAGGGCGCAACACAGACTGTTAAAGGCAGAAAATTAAAATTTTAACTGAGATGCACTAATGTGATTAATTACTGACTACACGTGTCTACAGCACGGTTAGACACTCATTTGGTTTATCAGCAAAAAATATTGTTATGGGGGTGACTTGCTCTTTAACAAGCTTGATTTGTTATTACAAACTTATATTTTGTTTACTTGTTCTACATTCATTTTGAAAATAAATTTAGTTTAATTCATTAACATCTAAATGGTCACACACACGGGGCGGGCCTCATGCCGTATCTAAATAATAAAGAGAATTAGAAAAAGTCCACAACTGCATAACTACATTGGTCTTTCATAGGCTTAAAATATCTTTTGAAATTTAACTGAAAATAAACATATTTATTCACAGTTCAACTGAAACAAATTGTCTTGCCAAACCGTACCTAATAAATAAATACCTTCAACATCGGGCACTAACAACACAATAGAAGAAGAAACGTATTTAAAACTATCAACACATATTTAGCCGGTGAAAAAGTTGTATTAAACATCAAGGTTACTTGCAAAACAAACTCTGAATGCAATGCTAATAACTGAGGCTAACAAGCTCGAGACTGTAAAATGTTCCATCAACAAGTAGTTAGCAAAAGGCATTTAAAGCATTAGGTGCTCGTTAATAGCTTGGTGGACAAGCTAATTTCATATCTAATATGAAGCTAGTTAGCTTTAGCTCAAACAAGCAAAACACAAAAACCGCTTCCAGCGCTGTGCTGACGCGAATTATTAAATATTTATCAACAACTTACCCAACATTAATTAGAATCCTGATAAAAACAATGATAAAAATATCGTGAGGTTTCCAGCAGAGCAAATCACTGCGGAGCAAAAACTATCCGTATAAGCACAAAACTGTACACCAAGTCGCTACCACAGACATGTTTGGTTGCTACTGCATGCTAGTTCCGCATCCACCGAACTATGACCTCTTAAAAAGTCAACGTGTGTGTGACAACGACGCAGTCGCGGAGTTATGCAACAGCGACACCATCTGGTCTGAAAGAGAAACCGCAGTTCAGTCAGAGTTAGTCGAGTTTATAACAAACGTATTGAAGAATAAGGAGGACCGAAAGAAACATAAATAAATACGTTTCCAGGTCAAGAGCTATGGAAGCCCATTCCGGCCACTCAGATAAAATAAAATAAAATTATTATCTCATAATTATGACTTAGCTATCTCATAATAATGAGATAGTATCTCATAATAATGAGATAGCTAAGTCATAATTATGAGATACTAAGTCGTAATAATGAGATACTGTCTCATAATAATGAGATAGCTAAGTCATAATTATGAGATACTAAGTCATAATTATGAGATACTAAGTCATAATAATGAGATAGTATCTCATTATTATGAGATAGCTAAGTCATAATTATGAGATAATAATTTTTTTTTATTTTATCTGAGTGGCGGGAATGGGCTTCCATAGTTGTGATCCCAAACCGAAGGTTAAAAGATTTAGAAATGGATTTATGTAAAAGTTTTTTCAAGTAAAAAAAAATTAAACCTGTATTAGAAACCTTATGGTTACATTAAAATCATGAACTATTTATGCTTTCAAAAATAAATTAGATACTTTTATGTGCGGTGCTTTTTTTAAAGAATGTATAATGAATAAACTGTTCATGTATTTCAGATTGTACTTAATTTAATGATACATTTAATAAATTATTTAATGATTTCTGTAACTGTTGAACTTTTGGCCCTCTAAAGAGGAAGATGCCAATGGAAGATGCCCCTGCACTGTGGTGCAAAATACATATTTTTTACCAGTTCAATCTGATGTCATTTTATTTAGAATTAGTCATATTTTATAGTAATCATTTAAAGTGGTCTTCACCTATAGTTTGTGACATATTTAGCTACATTGTTTTCATCCCATTACAATTTTGTGCTGAAAATAGTGCAAAAATATTTTTGCAATGCACAATAAAGACAACACATTTGTCATGCTGTTTTGTCCAAATACATGTGAAAATTGAGCTAATGGAAGACAAATAACCTATTTTAGCCAAATAAGCCAATAGAGGGACCACACTGCGGTGTGGCTGATAGCTCTAAATCTTTAAATTAAGTTTGCGTGCATGTTTATGTTTTTGTTTGTTCTTTGGTTTTCTCCCACAGCCCAATAATTTACATGTTTGGTTAGTTAGCTACACTAAACCGGTCCTACATGTGAATCTATACTGTACATCTGTGCAGCTTTGTGATGGACCGACGACCTCTGAATAGAAGGCTGGAATTTATCAGGAATATTTCACAGAGCATGACATAAACATTTTCTTTAAATTAGTGTTAAGGTGCATTTTGAAGCTTTATGAATCACCCAGCCAATAAAAAAGACGTGGTTATTTGTCACAAAAGCTCAATGCCTATTTAGCACTGCTGGTCACCATGACGACTATTCCATATAAAAGTGGGAGAAGTGGATGGACTGGACATGGATTACTCTAAAAAGACCCCGGGCGACAAAGTTGGCACAGTTTCCCCTGAAAAGATGGCAGAGGAATTTACATAACAGGCAGTGTGTGTGTATGTAGGTCAGTGGCTGCAGTCAGACAGCCTCTCTGTTCTGTCCCGATCAGCAGTCAGCGAGGCGGCTCACGGCATCCCTGGAAGAAAAAAAAAAGCCTCACACTTGTTTGCATCTAATATCAATTATGTGGTTATAAAATAGCACGATTAAAAGGTTCACACACAACCCCCAACTTCACTAGAGGAGCCCACGTTTCTGACTAAACAATCCGAAGGTGCCGCTGAAAAACTCTTTAAATATTTTGCATTGACCAGCTTGAAACAGGAAGCCGTGGATTTGCAGTGAATGCTGTTCCAAAGCTGGCGTCCGGAGTCATCAGATCATCAATTTTCAGCCCCGCCGCACAGGGACAACCACAGAGAGCCAGCAAACAGGTCACCTCAATAGAGGTCTGTAAAATAAATGAAGTTTACATCGATGCAAACGTTTATTGCTTTAACGTTTAATTAAATGAATCAAGAAAGACAAAAGTGACTCGCATGATTCAGCACCGCAGAATAACTTCACAGAATTTCACGTCACAAACATTTACAGTAGAAAATAACTCGTGCTGATGAGAAAGGACATATATTAAAACATTTCTACAGGAATGTGGAAACCATAGAATTACATCTGAGTAGAAATGCTAGAGAATATAAAAGGGACATTCAAGAAATCAAAAAGTTAAATTTTGGAGGTTCACATGTTTGGGAGAACAGTCAGGAAGTCTTCATGATGCTGCTGAGCAAATACAGGAGAACAACTCCTGCTAGTTGCAAGCACTAAAAAAATAAACCATAACCATTGTGTATGTGCAAATTTAGGTAAATGTGTATTAATAAATAACACACATTAAAAGTTTCTGGAATGTCTGTTTACTCCAAAAGGAACAATAATCTGTGATCAGCTGCTTCTGTCTGAAATAATTTATCATTTTTAAATGTTTAATGAAAAGTTTCTGCAGGAAACAACAAACTTTGTGTCATGTTTTGAGAGTTCAGCTTAATTTGAAAGAAAACATGATTAAATATATTAAAGTGAATGTTCAAAACCATTGTAGTTAGTAAAAAAAATTTTTTTAAAAATGTGCTCTGTGTGCGTTCGCTTTGCTAAAGCAGCCGCAAATGTCAAAATTTTTTTGTTTTAAACAAAAAAAATTTAAATAATTTCTTAATTCTGTGCTCCTGACATTTTTTGTGGAAACTATAAAATAAAAATCTGTCTATATATATATATATATATATATATATATATATATATATATATATATATATATATATAATAATCGGGAAAAGAAACCCCTATTTAGTTCTAACCCCCAAAGACAACCTTCAAAGTTTAAAGTGACAAGTGCACATGAGCTGAGCATACAAATGAATGCATGAATGAATGAATCCGTGTAGAATAATAAAATCTGCTACTTAGAAAATCAGGACATTTGTTCACATTGTAGAAATGCAACAAAAACATCTGCACCATACCACTATTGAGAACTTGGGAGTGTAGAAACAGAACTCTATAAATAATTTACTTTGTAAAAAATAAAAATAAAAAAAAGGTTTTGGCGACTAGTGTTGAACGAATAAAAAGTGCTGTCAGTTTTGTTGATGCTATGCTAACGTGAAAACCCACTCTAATGCCGTTCGTGTGAAAAATCTTCCAATTCCTGAAGTAGTGTTTAGCTGCTTCTAGAAAATACATTAAAAAAGGTTGGAAAATGTTTTTTTTAGACCGTTGGAAATAAATTGCTACGTAAACTGTGCCCTCCCTTTCTTTACTGCATCAGGAACAAAAGCCTTTCTAGTTTCTCCAGTAAACGTCAACAGAAAAACTCCAGCTGTTCTGTTTTCCAAATGAAAATCTGACCTGTCAGATTATAAATCTACATATGCTACTTCTATACTGCTGGTTGCACTTCATCCAAACAGGTTGGACAGAGGTCGAGTTCGAAGAGGACTTCTGGGTAGTTCCTCTCTTCCCACCTCTCCGGTGTCCCTGAAGGAGGCGCTGTGGATGATCTGAGCTCGGTGGCGCCCACGATGAAGCCGGACGTTCAGCCGGCTCAGAGACGTCTTCCTCTGCAAGCCCCCCTTGGTTTTCTCAGTCCCCGCCGACTCATTTGACGTCTCTGCCGGCGAGTTCAGGAGCCGTAGTGGGTTCAGGTTACCCTGGAGGACTTTGGGGAGTCTCCAGCCACGTATTCCGCCGCCGCTGTTGGCATAATCAGTGTCGGAACCCGGTCCCGGTGAGGTGGCCGCTCCTTCCTTCTGCAGGTCAGCTGCCAGCGGCGGAGCCAGGTACTGGATGGCTCGCCTGCCGCTGTAATCTCGTGTTTCTGGGTCCGCTTCCCAATCTGACAGCAGCACACGAACCACCTACCGATCAGAGCATCACATCCAACCATCAGTCTACTTGCACTGCATGAAAAAACAAAAGGCACTACCAAAAAAAAAAGTTCATACATGATAATATTTCGTTGGACCTCCCTTAGCTTTGATTAAGTTGTACATTCACTGTGGCGTTGTTTCGATAAACTTCTGCAATGCACCACGATTTATTTCCATGCAGTGTTGCATTAATGTGTCATCAAGAACTTGCACTGATGATGGTGGCGTCTGTCCGCTGCACAAAGCCTTCTCTGGCACATCCCCAAGATTCTCAATGGGGTTAAGGTCTGGACTCTGTGGTGGCCCATCCACATGCGAAAATGATGTCTCATGTTACCTGAACCACTCTTAAACTATTTGAGCCCCATGAATCCTGGCATTGTCATCTTGGAATTTGCCCGTGTCATCAGGGAAGATGGAATAACCTGGTCATTCAGGATGTTCAGGTAGTCAGCTAACCTCATTCTTGGAGCGCATCCTGTTGCTGAACCTAGACCTGACCAACGGCAGCAAGCCCACATCATAGCACTGCCCCCACAGGCTTGTACAGTAGGCTCTAGGCATGATGGGTGCATCGCTTCATCTGCCTCTCTTCTTACCCTGATGCGCTAATCACTCTGGAACAGGGTCCATCTGGACTCAAAAGACCACATGACCTTCTTCCGTTGCTCCTGAGCCTAATCGTTATGCTCCCTAGCAAACTGAAGCCCTTCTTTCCAGTTTGCCTCACTGATTAATGGTTTTCTTACTGCTTCCAGTTTTTTATAATGCATTGGACAGCTCTCAACCCAGTTTTAGTCATTTCTGCAATCTGCTAAGATGTTTTCTCTGCTTGATGCATGCCAATGATCTGACCCTTCTCAAACACTAACTAAATACTAACATCTTTTCCACAACCACCAGATGTGTCTTTCAAGGTGGTTGTTTAAGAATGAGGAGCAACTCAGAGCACCAGTTGGGGTTTTAATAACTTGTTGCAGCTGAAAGATACCGTAAATCCTCTAATATTGGCCTTATTGAATTAACTACCGAGTATCATATTTTGGCCGGCGTCGGAGTCGGCGGAGGTGAATAATGGCCGGTTTTTTATTGTGGCCGGGTGGAATGTGGTAACAAGCAAGTACGGGGGGCGGTCTTGTCATCCGTCTCACTTTTGATTTGCCAGTGATAGACTGCGAGGGTAACTTTAACCGTGCGGAGATGAAGAGGAGGCGAAAATTTGATATCAAGTTCAAAGAGAACGTGCAGATTATGCTGCAGAACACTCTGGGGAGCAGTAGCAGGGGTTGTATGAAATAGTCGACTAGTGGACTTCACCGCTCTATAGTGACTTTTTATGCCTGTCATCGACTAGTCGCTGTCACGTGATAATGACCAGCAAGATGCAGCCCTCGGAAAAAACAGCAGCCTGCTGTCAGCAGGTGACAAGCTCCTGCGCATTGGGAGGCAACGCACTGTGCCAGAGCGTCGGTACTGACACCCGCCGTAAAACGGACATTTAACCAAATTGTGACCTTTACCCTCTTGCAATTTAACCTTCCCCTCACCCCCAGCCTAACCTTAACCAGCTTGCGCATGCAAAGCTCTGATTGTTGACGCGCTCCAGACATCTGCGTCCTGAGCACGGCCACAGTAACATTATCAAATCAGGTGTCGCCACCTCAAAAACTAATTTAACACGCAATCGTTCATGTCGGCTCATTTCCTTTTATGTTTTCTGTCTTTTATTCTTTTATTTGTGCCTGATGCGTTTCGCTGCTGTGGATCGGGGCGCATCACCTGTTTTGTCCTCGGTGACGCACCTAACTGATGTGGCCCGCGAGCACTCCGCTGTTTTTGCGGTCGGTAGATCTTTTAGAACTGCAGCTCAAAGGTAACTCATGAGGTGAATATATATGAACCCAGGTAGCAGTTTTTCTTTAGGATTGAGAGGAGATGCAGGAAGATAATAAACAGGCAGGACAGAAAAATAGTCAAGTAAAAACAAGTTAGTTTTTGTACCTGGTGGTTGCAACAAACAGACACCATTGAAGGTAATCAGAAGTGAGGAACAGAAAATGAAATAATTATTTTAATGTTTAGAGCAGCAGGAACTCTGAGAGGCTGCGGGCGCATCAGTGAGTTTGCGGCCGCTGCGCGGGGGGGGGGGGGGGGGGGGGGGCTGAAGCAGAAACTACCGTTGTTAAAAGAAATGTGTTTAACTTTGAAAATGTGGGCGTAATTTTAATTGTCAAAAACTCCAGCGAACCATTAGTTCATTTTGCTCAAATAGAAATTGAGGCCTGCCTCTAATACTGGCCCTCCTTCCAATAAAGGCCTGGAGCTTGATGAGCTTGAGTCAAGTACAGGCCCGGGCCTGTATTAGAGGATTTATGGTAATCGCCCAGAGGCTCGTACTTATTTGCTTAGTTAAATCCAGGTCGTTCCATACGACATGGCATTTTCTTTTGAATTTGGGCTGATAAACTCCTTAAAATTCAGCAGATGGTTTGTTGGTAATCGTGTTTGGGTTCACGGAGCAAGGGCAACACATGACACCTCAGTGCCCGAAACCCACCTGTGTGTGTCCATGCATGGCAGCCAGGTGTAGCGGTGTGTATCCAGCACTCGATCTCACGTTCACATTAACAGGTATTGTGTTCTCCTTGGCAAAGGACAGCAGCTGGGAGAGCAGCTCAGCTTTGCCCTGCTTGGCCGCCCAGTGGAGGCAGGTGAAGCCCGTCACAAAGTCTTTTTTGGCCACGAGGCTCGGTTCGACAGCGAGCAGCGGCTGCAGACTCTCCCACAGGCCGTCTGAGGCACAAAGCATCCACTCATGCTCCAGCGGGTCCAGAGTCACCGACGCACAGTCTTCATCAGTGTTTGAGGAAAGAACGGATGCAGAGTCCCCGTCGCTCTTCATCGAGTCTCGGATGCGTGAGCCACGATTGATCAGAGACCTGCGAACCTGCAAAACAAACAAAAAGAAGTCTGTTAGACCGTTTTAGATGGATTCCCTCTTCATCTAAAACAGAATAATTTCCAACCTGAGGAGAACTGGTCATCATCAGTTCTATGAAGTTCCTACGACTTCCTTTTGGTGTTCTGATTTCCCCAATGGACTCCAGTCCTTCCAGCGCACTGTCTTCAGAGAGGCAGCTGACCAGCATGGCCCGCTGGGATCCTTTGGACACCCTGCGTGCTCCTCTCACTGACTGGTTTAGGGACCCAGCACAGTGGGCCTGGTCCAGATCTTGCATCCCAATAGTTGGAGCCGACTCTCGCCTCCTCCTGTCCCTCAGTCTCACCTCCCCTCCTCCAGCTGTGGTAGGAGTCCCAGTGTTGGTCTCGGGCTGAGAGGGGGTTGCAGGTTGCTCGTTGTCATTTGAATGTTTGCCATTGTCCAAGCTGGTCAGCGGTGGATTTGATGCTCCTGTAATCAAATGTCTTGGACTTACAATAAATGCACGTGTAAGAAAAAAAGTTTTCCCTATTTTATAATTATTCTAATATGTCTATTTGGGAATTGTGCCGTAAACAGGGTTATATTATATAGCAAATGTCTAAAATGTGTTAAATTTTAATTTATAATACGAAAAACAAAAACAAAAAAACATGACATCATCATGAGAGTGTCTGCCTCACCTGTTTGGTCTCCGTTTTCAGGGTTACCGTACACATGCTTGTTGTCCAGCGTGTCCTGGACGTTGCCGTTACACTCCGCGTGATCGTGGCTGTCCGCGTCCGAACGCATCACCGACTCCACGCTGCCTTCAGTCTTCAAACACACGAATTTAACGCCGTTCTCCACCTTCACGAAGCCCACACTGTCAACAATGCGTTTGAGAACGTCCCGGTCCACCTCTTCATTTGACTGCTCATCAAAACCGCACAGTGACGTGAAATGATCGATCAGCTCCATCTGCTGGACCCTCCCTCCTTTCTCTAACAGGAACTCCTGCACGGCTTGTTCCGTGCACGGAGACGCCATCTTCATCCTGGATGACTCAGAATTACATCTGCCTTAATTTCACAACATATTTTAAAAACAAAACCACGGCCATGCTCAATTATTCAAGTCGGTGGCTGCGGATGTCAGCATCTTCTTCTCAAGCCTCCTCCTCCTCCTCCTCTCCTCCATTGGGAAGATCAATGGCCGGTTCTGACCAATAGGGGTCCCTCGCGAACCTGAGAGAGTCATGTTGCATTCGCGTACTTGTTACAAACTTAGACTTTCAAAACTAGAAAAATATATAGTTTGTTTTTTATACTACAGTAGAAAAACGAACTTTGTTAAGTAAAAAAATCAAATACTCACAATTTTAAGTATTATAATTTCATCAGCAGATTAAAAAAACGTTTATAAAGTACGTTTGAAAACATCGTTGGCAAGCCCAAAATCTGGATATCTTTTGTTCTGATAGACTTCAACACAACACAAGATCTGGGAGCGCCTGGGAAAATTATGTTGGGCTGTACCAACTGTCCTAAAACGAGGGTCATGTGATTTTTAATACAGTAAATGCCTGTTTTTTTTTTAGCTGAACCTTTATTTGTTTTTTGAGGAAATAACTTGATACGAAACAATAAACTTGCGTCTCAAATGTACCCAGTAAAAACCCCAGTATGCGTTTTGAATCCGTTTTGCACACCACACGCTTCCCTAAATTCCTACATTGTGGTAAATGGTGCCGTCTGTCTAGTTGTCGACGGTGAAGGAATAGGCGGTACTGGACAGGATTTAAGGAAAAAAGAAGTCATTTCTTACAAGTTTTGTTGATTTATTAAAGACTAATTAAGATTATCTACTTTTATTTAAAACTATGGCTTCATCAGATGTTGCGCGGCATCCGGTGAGCATTCTTTTGTTATTGTGTGTTACAGAACATTATTCTTGATAGTTGAACAGGGAGTGTCCCCGAGGCTATTCCAAACTTAGCTAAAAGCCCCCTAACTTCTTACAAGTTTTCGAGAAATACATTATTATTATTATTCTACAGCGTTGCTGGAATTTCCTTGGGCATATATTTAACTGTTGTGCTTGTATACATTTTCTTTGAAAGAGACTTGTTGTAGTTAGTCCAAAGTAATGCACAGAGAGACCTAGCTAGCTAGCTAGCACCAGCTAGGTGTTTACATTACTTTAGGAAAAACTTCTGTAGAGTTTCTAGCAAAACAAGCCACATGTTGTTTAAAATGCTAAATTAAACAAGGGTTATGTTATAACACGTTGCTTTACAAAGTTATGTAGGTTACACAATCAATGTGGCATTCTCCTTAACTCGTTTTGATACATTTAAATGGTAGATGCCATTTTTATTTATAAAATTAACAGTTTTAGCAGTAAAATATTTGTTTAAGGACATGCGCATTAAATCTTTTGATTAAAAGGAAATGGCTTTCAAGCTGTGTAGGACTGACACCCAAGAACTTTCAAAAAAGCGTGTGTGTGTCTGTGTGTGTGTGTCTGTGTGTGTGTGTCTGTGTGTGTGTGTGTGTGTTATGTGAAAACATATTTTTGCAGCATCTCAATGATTGCCTTTTTTTGTGCAATTTAATTCACAGGATAAAGGAACCCGGCCCTTGTCCCTTGCAGGCCATGTAGGCTTTGACAGCCTCCCAGATCAGCTTGTCAACAAGTCCATCAGTCAGGGCTTCTGCTTCAACATTTTATGCATTGGTACTTTTCTTCACACACCATTTTTCTAAAAATATTACACACAACCATACTCAGGATAGACCAATATATCAGTCGAACAATATTTACCAATTGTTTATATACTGGCGTTAAACAATATGCTGATTTAAAGTCAGGCACATCTGTGGGCAACCCAGTGACTGCTGAAATTTTTTTTATTCAAATGTATATTTAAGTTCCTGAAAAACACCTGCATAGTAAATACTTTCAAACATTATGCTCAACTGATATTTCTTTTATTTGCCCGTTTCATATTTAACATATCAGTTTATTGATTAGTTTAATAAAAATTGGTCAAGTTTGAATTTAATACTGAGCAGTGCACAAAATAAAGATTATACAGTTGGATAAATTCTGTGTTCAAAAACGGATTCAGGTTCAAAAATGGTTATTAGTGACATTTTAGCATGAAAGTAAAGTGTAAAACATCTAGATATACACCCTAAAAGTTGGCCCAAATACTTGGCAGCACATATCCATCGGTTGAACGTGGCCTCTACTTATCGAAAATAGAACAACCAATATCGATCAATCTCTTAACCATACCGATCCAATTTGAGTGTCATCTTATAGAATATTTGAGTTGAATTCTATTAACGGGAACTGTTCAGACATTTCTAAGATGATCTCTTGTATCCCTGAACTGAAGAGCACCGGAGGAACTCACAACCGCTTCACACCCTAGAAGCACTCTATGCCTTTCTGGTATTTCTAAGATGTATATAAAAGTTTCTCCCAAATCTAAAAGCTTTTAGAGTTGTGTAATTTTTGATACTTTCAAGTAATCTTTGTAATTTAATAATGCAAATAAAATCCGATTGTTGTTTCCTTCCTCCAGGTGAAACCGGCATTGGGAAATCTACCCTCATGGACACCCTGTTTAACACAAACTTTGAGAATTTTGAGTCTTCTCACTTTGAACCTCAAGTGAAGCTGCGGGCTCAAACTTACGACCTGCAGGAAAGTAACGTGAGACTACGCCTCACTGTGGTCAACACCGTTGGATTTGGAGACCAAATGAACAAACAAGAAAGGTGTGGCTAAAAAGTGTATGAGCCAGCGTGTTTTAAGGGACATTGACTGACCCTGAAGAAAATATGTGTGATGATTTTTATGAAGACAGAGAGAGTTTTCTTTTTTGAAATGTATTGACTTTGCAATCTGAAATGTGTGTATAGCCCCCAAAGCACTCACCAGCACTATATTTATGTTCCGTAGCTACCAGCCAGTGGTGGATTACATTGACAAGCAGTTTGAGAGTTATCTTCAGGAGGAGCTAAAGATCAAGCGGTCTCTGCACAACTATCATGACTCACGAGTCCATGCCTGCCTTTACTTCATCTCCCCTTCAGGCCACTCCCTCAAATCCCTGGACTTAGTTACAATGAAGAAACTCGACAGCAAGGTAGGACATGAAGTAACTGAGGTTTTAATGTTTTGTTTATCAATCCAGGATGGAGATTGATCCATCAGACATGTGGGTTCACAACCAAATCTGTGAATAAAACACACACACACACAAAGATCACCGTATAATTCTGTATGGTGAATAATCTGCGGATTACTTTGGTGTAACTGCATCAAATACTGGAGTAAAAATACTCTTGAGCCTCATACCAGCTTATAGTTTAGTCTTCTGTCACCACAGGTCAGATCTGAGTCTAAACAGTTAATTGAATTACATCAAAACGGGCCATTGGTCTGATTGTTTATCTAACCCGGAATAATGAAAGCATTAAATCACCCATCATTCCTGCTTTAGAACACACATTTCAGGAGAGAGAATTGATTTTGAAGCTGCAGGCAAATATTTGGTGTCTTTACTTGGCTTAGGTAGAACAAGTGATCACTATATTTCTGTTCTCTAAATAAAAAGGAGAAGTCGGAGTTTTGTCTCTAATAGATACATCGGAATATCGCACAGAAGTGGGAGGTTCTCAGTATTCAATAGTGTTTTGGAGTTTTAATTTGTGTATCAGAAACTATTCTGTAGTGGCCACTGGGGGAGTTTCACTATTCGTTCCCTCCCCTCTTAAAAACGGTCACCAACTTTCCCATGCTCTGTGTAGTTAGTTGTGTTTGGTTTTTTGTTGCCTTTGCGTAGTTTTCCTCTCGAGTGGTGGTAACACTATATTTGCGTGTGAAAGGAACCGAAAGAGCAGGGGAATTCTGTAATCACCTCACACACACACACTTGAGCTGTCCTTTTGTGCCACAGTGAGATACTCAAAAGGATCCAATTGTTGAGTCTGTAGCTGCGACTGACAGTCACTCACCCCGACAGCTGTTACAAGAGCTCTCCTAGCATGCATTTGTTTTCTTTGCTGGGTTTGGTGTGTACTCTCCCTCAGTGTGTGTGTGCGTGTGTGTGTGTGTGTGTGGTCCACAAGCTTGCCTAGTGGCAACAACTCATTCCAAGCCCCACTGTGCTACAGCAGGATGACAGAAAGGAATGTGGGACGAGTTTGGCAGCAGATGGACCAGCTCAGCCAGAAATAACATCTGAAGCATGGTTTATATAACACGTATCTGAAAACCGTTTGGAAGATGAAGTTGGTTATAGAAAAGCGATAAATGCAGTTAAAGCAGCAATCCAGAGTTTTCACCCTTTAGGAATTGTGTTAGCCTTGAAATCAAGACCAACCATAACAGTAGCAAAAGACTTAGCTCGGCAGGTTGTTTTAGACATGCTCCACTGGAGCCTCAGCAGGTCACCGGAAGCCTCTTTACTTCCATGATTATGCCTGGAAGCCAAGAGGCTTCAGGTGCAATACATTCTTCTTCCTCTAGTTGGTGTCCCGAGAAAACAAATCCAGAGTTCTGCTTTGTATTGTTGGGGATGTTTTTCACCAGGTCCTGTGCTAAAGTTTATATATAAAAAAACAACAACAACAAATAAATAACCAAACAACAAAGCATAACGTGCACAAGTGGGAAAACGTTTTTCTAACAAACGTTCATCCAATCTCCCCGTAGGTAAACATCATTCCGGTGATCGCCAAAGCTGACACCATCAGTAAGAGCGAGCTACACAAGTTCAAGATCAAAATCATGAGTGAACTGGTCAGCAATGGTGTGCAGATCTACCAGTTCCCACTGGACGATGAGACCGTGGCCAAAGTCAACACCACTATGAATGTAAGGAGGAAGCGTGCGGCTAGATTTACCAGCAGGCTCCTTGATCTTTGGATTCGGGGTTTTCTGACATTTATTTGGGTTAATCAGTTCCTGTTTTCTTTTAAGTTAGTTCAAATTTAGAATTAAACTTCTAATTAGTTTATAGCTAAAAGTAAACCTGTAGATATAGCTTATGTAAACAATAAGCAATTTAAAAGTATGTAGCTGAATATTTTTGGACTATTTCATTCAAATTTCAATTATTGTGTAGGGTCATCTTCCGTTCGCTGTAGTCGGCAGCACCGAGGAAGTTTGTGTCGGCAATAAGATGGTGAAAGCTCGTCAGTATCCGTGGGGCGTCGTCCAAGGTATGAGTGTGTGTGCTGGCGTATTGCACGTACCCGACAACGTGGCTGTAACACACACACTTCCAGATGAAGCAACACATAAATGTGTGTGTTTGTGATTATTTGACTCAGCTCAATTTATTGCTGTTTTCTTTTTATTTGTCAGTGGAGAATGAGCACCACTGTGACTTTGTAAAGCTGAGGGAGATGCTGATCTGTGTCAACATGGAGGACTTGAGAGAGCAAACTCACACGAGACACTACGAGCTTTACAGGCGCTGCAAACTGGAGGAAATGGGATTCAAGGACACGGACCCAGAGTGCAAACCTGTCAGGTGAGCTGTCCACACGCGAGCATCCGCATCCATCAAAGTGTCCAGCTCACTGACGTACAGCTGAAGAGTGTGTGTGTGTGACAGTTTACAGCAGACGTATGAGGCGAAGCGTCAGGAGTTCCTGGCGGAGCTGCAGAAGAGAGAGGATGAGATGAGGCAGATCTTTGTGCAGAGGGTGAAGGAGAAGGAAGCTGAGCTGAAGGAGGCTGAGAGGGAGGTAGGCAAAATACATTTTTATATTTTATTTTCAAAATGCCAGACTTAGTCGAAATTTTATAAATTAGTCATTTGCACAAAATGCACTTTTGTCTTTCTACACCAGTCTGGTTGAATGAAATTTTGCACACAGTCGTGTACGTTTGGTTACGGTGTGAATGTGACGTCGTTTGGTGGTTGTCGTCGTTTTAGCTGCAGGGCCGTTTTGAGCAGCTGAAGCGCGTGCACGCGGAGCAGAAATCAACTCTGGAGGACAAGAAGCGGCTTCTGGACGAGGACCAGAGCTCCTTCAATAAGAGGCGGGCTGCAGCTCAGCTGTTGCAGGCTCAGAGCCTCACTGTCAACGGCAAGAAGGATAAGGACCGCAAGAAGTAAGAGGCCCTAGTGTGTTTCTTAAAGGATCAACATGTGTAGGGGTCATAATGGTTGAATGTATTCATGGGTTTGGCACTTAAAGCTTTTTATGATGCCGTATTTATTAAATAAACTAAACGCTTGAGCTAAGACTAATAAATAAATGTATACGTGCTAATTAACTCTCTCCACCCTTTTTGTTTTCCTAGTTCTGGCTTCATGTGAACACTTTTGGATCTAAAACACTCCGTTACCAGTATAACCAGTGGCATTCCATCCACCTCCTCTTCAGTGGCTCCAACGACAGAATCAGACAAACCGTGCGAGAGCCCGAGTTGCCAAAGTTTAAAGACCGTTTCCGAAAAAATCCTGTGTACATCTTTCATGGTATTTGAATCAGTTATGTAGCTTTTTTTGGGGGGCTTATATGTTTTGATTTCTTTATTTATCCTTTCATTCTTATATATTAACTTCTATTTCTTTTTGTTTTCTTTTCTAACACTGAGAGGCGTTTTCCCCTTGCATGTAAAATCAGAGGAGACAGGTACACATTTAGCTGTTTGGTTGCATTTTTTTGTTAATTTAAAGTTCCTGCAAAGCCCTTTTCATACTTAACCACACAGGTGGGATGGTGGAAGCTCGTGTCAACTTCATCCCTCGCCCATCGTAATCTAAATTTTGAGGTTTGTGTTTCTTGTTAATCCGACAACATCAGCTGTTACATTTTCACAGCTCTTGGTGGATTTAAACTTGGCAGCAGCCGCAGGATTTTGTGTTCTGGTTTGAATAAATAAAGACAATTTCATATATGTATACTTTTAATATAAGAAATTGGTAAATTAATACACAATTCTTCAAAATTTCAGCTTTTCGTATACATTATCAAACAAAAATTAATGATTTTAAAATAATTTGCGACATATCTTATTTTCCAAATGTTTACAGTAATTGATTAAAAGGATTTTAAACCGCATTTGTTTAGATATTTTAAAATTAAGTCAAGGCATTCATCTTCAAAGCTCCCTTTTTAGGCTTCGTTGACTTTTCTACTGAAATCTGCTTTATAGGGAACAGCCCTTGTCTGGACTTTACATATTTCTGGGGCTTCTACAGTATGACGCTGTTGTTAGATTGGGTATATTGAATTCAATTTGGCATTAAAATATATTTATATACGTGAATATTTGTGTACTTTTTTATTTTACCGTGGCTGTTTGCAGTATTTAAAAGAAAGCCGGATCTTTGATCAGCTATGCATCATCATGAGTTGGTTGCTGTTGAGGGGGCAAAAGAATAGAAGGATCCTTGTGTTACTCTGTAATATTATTATATGTTTGTATTCACTTTTCTCTGTACTGTAAAGCTGAACACTTGTGGTGCTGGTGTCCCAAAAAGTGTGTTTTAAAAGCCACCATGAACTCACTTTTACTAACGTTTGGTTCTGATACCAGTGCTTCAATGATGTTAGTGCCTTATCTGTGTCAAACTTTTGGACCCCCGCAGGAGAAAAGTTTGCTTGACACACTTTATCACGTGTGTTTTTAAGAACAGTATTATTTTGGGAGCTTTGTTGTGCCTTTTTAAATAAATCATTGTATTTTTGTCACGATATTGTTTCTGATTATTAGAGCTTCCAGTTCACATGAAAAGTTTAGGTTAAATTTGTATTACATTAGTACAGTACTATTTCTTTACTTATGCTGAGTCTAATATTGCTTTTTATGAGGAGACCTTATGTTTTTTTTAGGGATGCAACAATACCACTTTTTTCCAAACTGATACCTGGATCTGAGTACTCGCCGATACTGATTACTGATACTTCTACCACACAAAAAATTGCTATGAAATGGAATACAGGTTTTATTTTATTTTATTTTCAACAGGAAAAGGCTGTGAGGTAGATAAAAGGTAAAATATGTTAATAGAAATTATCACAAAACTAATATATTTGGTTAACACAAATGACAAGTTACAGTGAAGCCACTTTCAGGCAACTGCATTGGTATCGGTTAACTTATCGGTGCATCCGTACTTTTATCCTTACACTTTTTCTTCTCCAGGGGAGGTTCCAGACCTACGTTAGAGGGGGGCAGCTGCTCTGTAAGAGAAGCACCTTTTTTTAAGAAAACATTACAAATGTTGCCAAAAGCATTTCAAATTATTGCAGAAATAACAGCAATTAAAATAGAGTTGTTTAAAATTCAATAGTTTTCACTAATTTTCAACATAACTTACGAAAAATACTGTATCTGCGTTATTTAGCTCAGCGACAACAAAGTATTTCACAGCATCTCTTCAAATTTAGATGAATTCATACACATGTACATCTTGCATTGGTTAATTATTGAAAAAAAATTGTATTGCTTACATGTGCCCGCAGCAAGGGGCCCAAGCTTGCTGTCAGGGTAGCAGTGGCGCTCCCTGGACCCCCCCTAGAACCACCCCTGTTCTCATTTTAATAAAGTATATTTAGCATGAGCTGAAACTAAATAATACTCTGATTATACGAATTTAATGAAAAAAAAGTTTTCTTTCTCACAGCAGTGGTGTTCAAACATTTTGAGGATGCCAAGTTGAAAGAAAAAAATGTAGCTATAAATATTTTTTTACCTGACTGAAAAAATTCATATAAATTATAAGAACAAATTTAGTTGCAAAATGTCATCGATAACACTTTACAATAAGGGTCCCTTTATTAATGTTACTAAACATTAAGTCATTCTATAAAGCACTAACAGCTTAACCATATTATGTAATGCAGACATATTATGTAATGTCTAAGCAGACACCCAGCCCTTTGTTCTAATCATAAGGACACTTAATAGTTAATAATATTGGGAAGAATAAAACTGCTTTCCGGAGTTTTCCCCTTCCAGAAATGATGTGTGATTTTTCAGAAATCCGTAAAAGTGATTATGTCATCATGTACTGTGATCAAATGTAAGCAATACGTCTTTTTTTTGTTGATAAGCACGCCCCCAGCTGCGCCGCAGAGCTCCATTCAATAGGAAACTGAGCGCCGACCAGAACTAACCAATAGTGTTAGACTACCGCTAACTTGCTTCAAATTTAAGGAACACCTCGGTTGATGCAGTTGATGAACTTTTCTCGGACAAGTAAGTCTCTAAAATATAAATATATGAAAACACAACATGACACAAGAATAATACTCGTAAAACAACGTGTTTTAGCTTTGTTGTTGGCTAAAGAGCTCATTTATAAACAGAAACGTGAAGTCGTGATCTTAAACAGAGGAACAGACTTTTTGTGTGATATGCTTGTCAGCCACTAGATGGTGCCATCAGATTAGAGAAATACTCGGAAAGAAACGAAGATTTTATAAGCGGGATTTTTTGTTTAATGCTAAATAATGCACTAACATTAATTACATGACTCACTGTAAAGTTATCTTTGTAGATATGTAAAAAAAAATTTGGGATTAGATGTATATTTTTCCTAATTTGTTGGTCTTCAAAATAAATGTTAGTCCATTATCTGTAGGGAGAATGTGACAATTAGCATTTTTGTTAAGTGTTCACAGTATTAAACATCACAACATAAGCATCTATCTGCAGGAACACGATAGAAAAGCACATGCTGGTGTTTGAACGTAATGGTTGCTATTAAAGACTTATCGCTTTTGCTTACATCCTCTTCCTGTGAGTGATCCTCGGCTTTCCTTTTCTTTCCTGTGAAGAGCGCAGAAGCGTAACACATTCCACACACACCGCTTGCTTTTCCCCCCAAGCCCACACATTCAAAAGACACCGCGTTGTAATGCCTGGTAGGTTTAGTATCCTGCGGTGTCTCATCCTCTAGCTCTGTTGCCCTTCAAGCGACTTAAACACTGCCACACACACACACTCTCTCTCTCTCTCTCTCTCTCTCTCTCTGGTGGACAGACGTGTTTGGCTTAAAGCCGAGAAATGCTGATTGATTCCCTGCAGGAACCTGCAACACCTCGCTATTATTATTATTAGGCAGTGAAGGACACCCAGAGGAGAACCTTTCCTCTGAGGCAAAACACAGATAAAGCGTGTTTGTGCCTGAGCATACAAGTTTAGCTACAATATCTCTGAAAACGGTGAACATTACATGTGCTGCAGAGATCTAACAAAAAAAGAAGAAAAGAAAGGTCCCTGCACCTCAAATATAAAAGCTTGTGTGCTAAAAGTCACATTTCTGAGTGGGGTGTAAATCTAAGATAGCTGGCGTGCACACACACACACACCACCCCTCGCCACCTTTTGAGTCACTCTAAATGCAAATGGAGGTGATCATTGTAGACAGGCCTGACTTCTGGAGAGATGAGGTTGTCATTTAAGGGGAGTGTGAGCAACGCTCAGAAATTACCAATTACACACCTCATCCATGTCAGTGTTTGGTCGGAGAGCTAAGAGGAGATAAGAAAGCAGGAGGAGAGAGAGCGCGAGAGAGAAAGAGAGAGATGAAAACAGACATCCATCACTAACATGTCTGCAGTAATAAAAACAATAATACTCTGTGAAACAACTACACCTGGAGCGCCACTCCTACTGCTTCATAAGCTCATAATGAACACGTCGTGAAGGAAGATAATTATAATTAGAGCAGGTTATAGCTCTCAGAATGAGTCCTCAAAGGGCCAAATCAAAACAGGCTATGCAGGCGGAGTGTTTGTTTTCTATCAGAGCTCGTAAATCTGTTTTGTTTCCAATCATTTTTTTGTTTTAGGGCCCTTTGAAAACAGGAGAAAAACGCACATGGAGGAAATCTGTTTTAAAACAAAAGGCATTTATTGCGAAAAATGCACTTGACATGAAAAAACAATCATATCAACCACGGGTCATCAGTACAAGACGATGTATAATGATCACATGGTAGAGAGCGCTGGACGCAGCCAGCCCAGAGCATGACTTCAACGGCACAAAAGGCCTATAAATATTCTGCACAATATAGAATTATATGTCTATATATATTCTGTTTTATTTTCTGTTTCACTCACCGACCCAACGGTATCAACTGGGTCCTGATGAGGCGTAAGCGTCCATGCTGCACCAAGCTTTTTCATAAAGTTCTCTTTGTGTAAAGAGCTACATTACAAACGCCACCTCCTCGCACGCACACACACACACACACACACACACACACACACACACACACACACACACACACACACACACACACACACACACACACACACACACACACACACACACACACCATAAGAACAATTATGGCTGACATTAAATTCAAAATGGCAAAGTGAGTACTCAGGCTTCCTGGAAGTTGTCAGGTGGACAAAAATGGTTAAAATTTATCAGGAGTGAAAAAAATAAAGGTCAGAGAGCGGGCCAGCGTCCTTATGGGACCAGAACTAAGCATTTATTAATAAATCAGCTTTAATTAGCATAAATCAGCAGATTTGAAAGTTAATCAAACATAAATCCGGTTGAAAACTGAGCTTTCCACATGGATGTGCAGCTGCGTTCCTATTGCACATCATCACATCTTTCAAGCTGTTTCTGTGTTTTCACGTGACGAACACGACCAGGAAGCCGAGTCAAATGACAAACTTAAGTCACATAATTAAAACACTTGAAAAACATTTTGGAAAAAACTGGCGCTTCAAGTTATTTCATCTAAAGTGACCACCGTGCAGTGGTTTATTCCTGATGTTTGGACTGTCGTAAACTATTTTAGAATTTTTTTTTCATTTCCCCCCAGAACAATAAAAAAGAAGAAAACCAGAGACCAACACAAACGGGAAGCTGTGCTTAAGTTAAACGGTAGAAATAACTGGAGCTTCAGGTTCACGCAGGCCTACAAATGGGTGGAGAAAACCCGGGTAGCGCTCTGGGATCTGCTGGTTTTCGTCACGGGGCCTCACAGAATGGAGTAGAAAAAAAGAATATTTTCAAAAAAAGAAAGTTTGAAAAGTGGGATTGACTGGGTGTGTGTTGGCGTTTGTAGGCACTAAGGTTTGACTGACAGGTTTTAAAGGCCAACGAGGATTTGTTTAGACTGAAGACTGATAACTAAACCCAAAAAATCCATAGAAAGTTCAATTTGTTCAATTTTAAGAAAATAGACTTGATTAAACCAACAAAACATGTATAAATAACACGATTTTGAACACTATAGGCAAAACAGACTAAATTGTGCCAAATTCTCTGAGTTTCTCACATCCTGTTGCTTTGTCCGGTTGTCTGCCAATTTTAAACGCATTATTACGTTTTCTGAGCGAGCTGACATATATTGCTGGTTTTCTCTTATATTGGAGTGTTGTCTGTAATTGGAAGAAATAAAAGTTGCCAATTTTTCAGAGTTCCAGCGACTCCAAGATGCCTTTCTTTGATGAAACGTGCAACTAACGCTAAAAAAAACAGATGAGTGCAGTTAATCGAGGAGGTTGAAAAGCGCTTGATTCACAGTTGAGTTTGAGATTTATGTGCTTGTTTTACCTTTGAAGGAGCCTTTCCCGTGTGCACTCTCGTTGGCCGTTTGTGCTTCTGTTTGAATAAAAAAACTCACTCTGAAGTCCAGAGTCAGGTTGTGGGTGATAACTGTGCCTAGTCCTCACAAATCTGAGAGAAAGGTAGATGGTTGTTGTGAAAAAATGTAAACTAGACCGGATGCATGCTCCCGAGATCAAAACTAAAGACTGGCAGTAAAAAGTTGACCTAAAACATAATTCAGTCAATTTTCATTTCCTGGTATGTTTAGAATTTTTTTTTTTCAAATAAAACAAGAAAATGTTGGATTTAAAAATTTTGTACCACTAGTTTGTGGCTGCCCACAGCAAAATCTTGTCAAATCATCTAACAAATAAAAACTTGTTTTAAATGTACACACAAGAGCAGGTTGTAGCAATTTTCCGTTTCTCATCTTCAACCGAAGTTCGAAAAAAAAAATCAAAATTCAAATAAAATATCTAAAAGGTGTTTTGGTGTGACTTTGTTATAATTTTTTTTTTTGCTTACATTCAAAAAGCCAGTTAATTTCTCTAAATCAGTGTTTGTATAAAAGTCAAATTTAATAAAATTAATGAAATATTTTTAACATAGGACACATAAATAGATAGAAAAACCAGATGACCTAATTCAGACTTTTTGGTGACAGATCTTCACAGCAGGACACAACAAACACCTATTACAACATTTAAAAAATCAAACAGAAACAGAATAATGCTACATGCATTAATCAACATTAATAGGGCCGGAACAAAATGTGTGCTCACATTGCAGACGAGGAGATGTGCTTCCGAAGATCCAGGACTCTGGGTCAAATGTGTTCACCTGGCTGTAAAATGTTCCCGTCTCTAATAAAGAAAGCACCTGGATTCAAGTTCTGAGGTCTCAATGAAAGTAAAACTGAAACAAACCAAAAGAACAGAGCAAACTGTTTTTGTGCTAGTGTTTGCTGGTGGATGACGCCAGAAAGGAGAACTGGGAGGCTCGTCTTTCTGAGTCTGTGCCTTCAGTAGTCAACGTTGCAACTCTAGAACGCGAGCAACTGGTAAACCCCACACTGCTTACTAGAGCTGGGAATAGCTTTTTCTGTACAATAAAAATGTGTGTGAGAGTGAGTGTGTGTGTGTGTGTGTGTGTGTGTGTGTGTGTGATAGTTGGACTAATATGGATTTCTTAAGTCTATTGACAGAAAAGGTGATTTGAGGCTGCATTAAACGCGCACGAAAAGGAAAACTTCAGTATTGCTTAGCCGATTAAAGAGGGGGAAATATGTGAAATTTGATTTAAAGTAACACTAAACAATTTCCACCGTCTCCCTTCTACTGGTTGAAAGTGGAATAGCAACTGTGGTAAACAACCCTGCAGCAGCCTGCTGTAACTAGCGCTAACAACGAGCTAACACTAACATGAGCTGATACCAAATAAGCCACGAATTAACACACTTTTGGGCAATTTTTTTTTTTAAATACTTACAAATCCAGTAGCAACAAAGCCAGGTCAACATAAGCTCATGATTTTGTAAGGCCACACTGATGTTCACTCACGTTTACCCCTTTGCTGCGCCTCCAAAGACATTCTCTGAGTTTTACTTCCAGGCTCCACCATGATGCCAACAATAAAGCAAACTTTGTTTTTCTTCTTCTTGTGTTTCTTACTGACGGTAGACAAACTGAAAAAAGCTAACTGCTAGCTTTTATATTAGCAACGGCACAGAAAATAGCTAACAGCCGTTAGCAGGTAAAGAGCACCGCCTAGGACACTAGGGCTGGGTGATGTGGCCTAAAATTAATATAACAATAAAGATTTAAATAAAGATTTCACCTCGAGATAAATGGACGATAACTACAGGTATGCGCAGAAACAAAAGTTGTCCACTAGATGGGGCTGTCACATGCATTACGTTGAGTCCCATTTTTATGTGACTCAACTTGGTACAGCTTCTTAAAGGGACATGAACGTTGCCAACTGACACACATCTTTTCGTTTTGGTGTTATCAATTTATTGACATGGGAAAAATTAACACAATAAGAGTCAGAAATTTCGATAAAGATCAATTTTCGATTTATTGCCCAGCCCTAACACCTAGCCACAAAACTGTTAAGTGCCGTTTCTGATGGGCAGAGGGCTGCAGAGTGCTGTCCCAAGTGAAGTTGCTAAAGTTTCTACTTACACAATCATTAAACCCCACTTTTGACGGAATTGGTTAAAGTGTTAAAAACTGCTGTGTGTGTCTTGAAATTCTGGTAAAATTATGAGACAAACTCCTCTTTTACGTCATTTTGTGCTGCCATGTCATTCACCACTGCCTCTATAAACACTCCGAACATGAAAAAATACGACCATCTGTTTTTTTGTTAGTTTTTGCTTTTAGTAATTTTGTGCAAAAAAAAAAAAAAAATCCCAGTTTGTTATGTCACCGAAGTAGAATATAACCTCCTCTCACATACATGCTGCTGCAGGGGGAGCTGCGGCTCTACTCTGAGCCTCACCCAGATATAGAAGCATCTCAGCTTATAGCAGCCAGTGATGAGTGGGCGTGGCCAGCTCTAGCTTGCGCTCCTGAAACTGCTGTGATCGCTTTATGTGAGAGGGATTTTGTGCAAAAAAAAATTCATTAACGTGTTTTGTATCGACCATGGAACTATTATAACTTAAGAATAAAATGTCGTAATATGTCTCATTTAAAACATTTTCAAAATTTAAGGGCAAACAAGGAGGAAAATTTGCATTCCAATATTTGTCCAACCTTTTTGAAGGTCTCTGTGTGTGTGTGTGTGTGTGTGTGTGTGTGTGTGTGTGTGTGTGTGTGTGTGTGTGTGTAATAGTTGGACAAACAGGTAAAAAGAAAAACAAGTAAAATGTCCACTTCCTGTAGCTCAGAAGCTTTCCACGAAGCTGCCGGGAAACAAACCCGTCTGTCCTGACCTCTGCAGCGTGCCTTTGTACCAACCATCATCCCTCTTCTTATGAACAAACACCACATCCCCTTCCCTCAGTTCGATCTCCGCCTCACTCTGAGGAGGGTAAGGAACCACCACGCGATACCTGAAGAACACAGATAGAGATTAATGACATCACCAACATCCTGGCTAAAATAATTTACAGATTTCTGTCTTTTTTTCTTCTTTTAATTTGAAAAGGGTCTCACATTAACAAAATAAATAAAGGTGCATGTTCTGTGATGTCTGGTCAAATATGACTCTTGGTACAGCAGTTCACACCTGCTGCCATTAAAGCTTCAGTCCTCCTTAATGTCCAGTGACATAACGAGTACATGTGTAATTATTACGATTTCTTACAAGAGGAGAAAATGCGAAAAACAGCCGGAGAGCCCCTTTCCACTCAGGTCACCTAAAAAAATTGTTAACTTTTGAAAAAAAAAAAAAAAACATTTTTTTCTTTATAAATTCTATGGAATGGGATTAGGGCCACTGGAGAGAAAAAAAAGATTTATGAGAATAAGGTGATAGTTTTGAGTCTAAATAAAAAAAAATTCTCCTCTTTGGTAATTTTTTTAAAGAGATTTGTTCACTTTGAAAAAACACTGATTCCTATTACTAAGTTTTAGATAAAAAATATTTTGCTAAATGGAATGGGATTTTATTTTCTATGAGATTTGGAAATTTGTGGAAAATGAAGTAAAAAAACAAACACATCCATAAATACATTTCAAAATATTATTGGTACTTTTAAGGCAATTCCATTCTGGTAATTGAATGCAATTATTTCATAAAAAAACTGAAAAGCTGCTTTAACCTTTGTCTTCCATTAAACCTACACTGAAAAGCAAGAGTTAGCTTTTAATCATTTTTAGCCAAAGATATAAAGAGCAAAGAATCACTGCATTGGCTCCCCGTATGTTTCAGGATCGATTTTAAGATACTTTTAATGGTTTTTAAGTGTCTTAATGGTATTGGCCCGTCTCATCTCTCACAACTGCTTTTACCATATAAACCCTCGCGGTCCCTGCGCTCCTCTGGCAGCCGTCTCCTAGTCATTCCTAAAGTCAGGACACACACTCACGGCGAGGCGTCTTTTAGTTATTACGGCCCTCGCCTCTGGAACGGGCTGCCGGAGGATCTCAGGGTCGCAGAGAACGTTCATGTTTTTAAGATCAGGCTCAAGACCCATCTATTTAGTTTAGGTTTTAACTGATTACTATTTATCGCATTGCTTGTTTTACTTATTTATTTATTTTTAATTACTGTTGTGTTACATATTTACGTTGTTTTATTTGTATAATCACATTTTATTGGATATTTTACATCATACATTTGACATATTTTCCATATTAGCTCTGGTTATTTTACATGTTACGTATTTTAATCCTTCCAGTGTTTCCTCTGTGGAGCCCTCTGCCTCGGGACCGGTGGCTGCTGCCATCGATCTGCTGCTGTCGAGGCAGATGGCTCCCTTGATCATTACCTGTCCAATCTGAACTCAGCCTAGTGTTTACTGTGGTCTTTTAATGTGTTATGTGGACGAGTGTGTGTGTGTGTGTGTGCCTGGGAATGGTTTGTGGATTGGGGTGAAACTGTCACAATAGTTTCATGTGTGGGAAAGGGAGGGGATGTGGGTTGTATGGGTCATTTTTATCTGTTAAGCACTTTGTGTTGCTTCCTGAGCATGAAAAGTGCTTTATAAATAAAGTTTGATTTGATTTGAACAGCTATTGAGGAAGGTCCAAAGAGCCACAGGTTGCAGACCTGTGATTTATTTTCTAATTAAAGTACCTCTGGATTGCTCTGACTATCCATGTAGCCAAGTTTTTGTTTTCACCGACTCCCTGGACCACTTGCTATTCTGCAGCCAAATTCCTCAAACCCAAAATTCCACAAGGTTGTTAGAAAATGTTTCCTGTGACTCAGACGGTGTTCTGTTTGCATCCGTGCAGCCATTGGAAGTGTCTGAGCTTTGAACCCACCTCTCTCTCGACAAGGGTTTGGGTTCAGGCCGTAGAACCATAAGAGCACTGCTGGCTCTTGTTGCTGGGGGAGACAAGGGGAAGTTGGTGTCCAGGGACCCGGACTTCCTGTGCAGAGGCTCCAGCCCTATCGCCCCCATCTCGCTCTCAATTGGACATGAACCGGCTCGTCCCTGTGACACCAGTGGACAGGAACCTGAGCGGGCATGGTGGTGGTGATGGTGAAGATGGCGGGTGGGGTCTGCGGGTCCACTGGGAGGAGAGGATGGAGGAGAACGTGGTTTCTTTTTGGCGGCAGCCCCTGAAAGGAGCTTCAACAACCCCGCTGCTTTCCTCTCCTTCTGAGGCTAGAGGGACAAAAAAAAGAAAAGAAGTGTGAATGCTCCTCTCCTCACAGTGTACTATAAACACAGATGCAACTGAGCGATGTGGAAGGAAAACTATTTCTCCTGCTACCTAAATGCGCAGCAGAACGTACTCACTAAAGAGAAAGTGTTTCTTCAAGGCACCTGGTAAAGAACATAGATGCAATTCTATTCAGGACCCCCTCTTTTTAAACGAGTGCAGTCATGAAAGAGGCTGCACTATACCACCCATTCAGTCAAACTCCGGCAGCTCCATGAGATTTTCTGTTCTCAATCATAACAACATGGATCAATACTGGGAAAGCCTGATTTTTCTTTAATCCGTCACCTGCAGGATCCAGCTGCACATACTGGATCACTGGACACTGAAGCAATATAAAAGCTGCAACTTTGTCCTAGCTGTGCCATTACAAACACAAAAATGATGTGTTGCAATCAAAAAGGCCCATCCATGTGTTTTAAATTGTACTGCATCTATCTGTAGCTCATGTAAATGGTAAGCAATGCCTTTTTTTAACCCTAACCAAAAGAATACAGTCCTCTCACAGTTTTTTGCTTCTTCTTTAGTGCTGCTTTCTATAAATGTCAGATCTTTTTCTGTGATTTTCTACGTACAGACACTTTCTTTGTGTTCCGTTAAACTGCAGAAACCGAGACCCCGGAGGAATCATCTCTGCTGTTTTACAACAATGCATCATCAGCAGAGGACAGTTACTCAATTTTCTTTTCACTGTTCATGGGCTTAGCTAGAATCATGTTAAATCATGTTCGTTTATTCCTACTGAAAAGCTTTTTGCACAAATCTCGCTGCAGCTGAACGAGCAAAACACCACAGATCTTACAGATTGTATTCCATCAGTAGTTTTGCAATATTAGCCCAACATTGAAGATTTTTTAAAGTGGTACTTCAATGGAATGACATTTTTTTTATTATTTCTGATTATTTCGGTCACTCTTGAGTTTGTCAGAAAATAGTCTCCTACACCTATCTCCTTCATTAATTTTTGATTAACGGTGAAATGCTAGGATTAGAAAAGTCTGACAGATCTACATCACACTGTCGCCTAACATTCATGGACTCATCCATCTTGGCTCACGACGGGAAGGCTGTTTTTGGTTCAGCGTCCAAGAAACGGCAGACTGTCTCAACTATCAGACGCTAACTGTTTGCATTAGCAATACCACCAGACAACAGAACTCCTCCAGGTTTGTGTTATTTGTGGAGATTAAACATCAATGTTGCAAAGCAGAGTCGGTGGTAGAGTCACGTTGCTGTTAGCCAATCCAAGGCGAGATGTCCAAATATCAGGAAATATGGCTGAATTGCGTATGCTGAAACAAGAGCATCTGAGCTTTCCTCCAGAAAATGACTTACAAAGCCTCAATTCCTAACAGAGACCCCTGCAAATGTATTAAAAATATGTACACTCATTACCATTTAAACTACTGCATTCAAATTGGTTTCAGTGGTTCTTGAGCCATAAACTTGAGCAACGTCCCACTGGGCAGAACTCTGTACCCCTCTGCTGACCAGAAACTGCACTTTGTGGTTTGGGTAGAAACACTATAAAGCAGGGGTGTCAAATATGCGGCCCGCGGGCCGAATGCGGCCCGCAAGCAGTTTAAATCCGGCCCGCGAGATGGTTGTGTAAACTTTATTTTCATACTTTACAATGCGGAGTGAAAATAAACGTATCATTGTGAGCAAGTTTTCTCTGTAATGAGTATGAATCCCATCCTGAAGTTGGCTGCCACTCAGGATGTGACTTCCGATATTGATGTGCTGGTGAAAGCTAAAAGATGTAAGGTAAAATGAGTCAAATATACTTTTAAGTGCTGCATGAAACTGATCTTGCCATGTGATCTGTAAGCTCTTTGAATCACTAAGGAAAGTTTTTTTATTTGTTGATTTTTTTTTTCAAATTTTCAATTTCAGGTGTTGTACTTGTACTACACTGTCCTCAGACTCCAGTCTTGTTTTATACTGATTGTATTAAAACAAAGAAAACAATCTGAAGTTTTTTTTTTAATTTACCGGTCCGGCCCACTTGGGACTAGATTTCCCTCAATGTGGCCCCTGAGCTAAAATGAGTTTGACACCTCTGCTATAAAGACACCAGCAGGAGGTCTCTACCTACTTTGTGGCAGTAGCTGTTTACTCTGGCAATAGCTAATAGAAAGGCTAGCAGTTAGCTTTTTCAGTTCACAAATTGTTAATAAAAAGCACAAAAAGTACAGTTTTGCTTTTTTGTTTGCATCATGGCAGAGCATGGAAGTAATGTCTCTGGAGGCAAAGCTAAAACCAGAGTGAAAATTGGTGCGACCTAAACTCGTTTGAGGGAGCTGAAGGAGGCTACGGTATCACAGCCTGACCTGGCTTTGTTGCTGCTGGACTTATAAATAATAAAATATTTTTGTCTAACAGTGTGGATTTTTTAACTTGGTGACTTATTTGTATCTGTTTGCTCGTGTTAGCGTTAGCTTGTTGTTAGTATTAGCTACAGCAGGGATGCTTACAACATTTGTAATTCTAATTTCGACCAGCAGGAGAGAACTGGGAAACCTTTTCAGGGTTTCTTTAATTAAAGTAACAGTGTATATTTTCCCAAAAAATAGGGGGCAGTGCATACCTAAATCATTTCAAGCAAGCATTATATTTGTGTTCTAGTAAGCCCTTACCAACGGATGGCCATTAGGGTCAAAAATCCCTGGGAGTGCAACCTCCAGCAAAATAACAAGAACATCAAATTCCCTTTCATCACTGGCAAAGAGTGAAGAGGTAAATGTGTAAATCACATATGTCAGACTCAAGGCCCGCGGGCCGAGCATTTTTATGTGGCCCGCGAGATACTTATCAAAAATACATTAAAACTGGCCCGCTGGCCGATTTTACCGCAAAGACTTCAACTCCCATGATGCTTTGCGGTGTCAGCGCGGAGCCGACGCGCCCCCTCCTTTGTGTTTTTTCCAGCGCCTGCTGCCGGTGTGCAGCTCCGCTGTCTCGGACAAACTACACTCCTCTCACTCAGCGCCGAGTTCACTCAGCTGTTTTCTGACGTTGAAGCCCAGAAACGGAGATTCTAGCCGCTCAGTAATGTGTTCACGACTGAAAGAGAAAGTTTTCCAACTAACTTCCAGACAGAGCTGATATAACTCCAGCGAGCAGCGACACGCTCAAACCAGCATGGTTCTGTGGCTGCTGTCGTGTTTCCTCCCCGACACACAACAACGTGGTCAAGCTGCTCAGACATGTTCAGCAGCACAAACCTATGTGAGCACCTGTTGTCATCTAATGTTGTCATTATTATGATGAAGATGAACAAAACAACAGGAGTCTCCTCCTCAGCTCAGATCAACCCCATGATGCAGGTATCTGGCTGGAACAGGTGAGCATCACAGTAAACCAGTGGAGCTTTAAATATGTTGGTTTTCTGCTCTTTTTCTGCTCCAAAACATGAAAGTTAACAGGTGAGATGTTGCATTTTCATTTAAGATGAAATTATATTTTTATTTTGTTGTTGGCCCGTGAGAAAAGATTTAAAAGATTTAAAAATGTAAAAGATTTTAAAAATGCTGATTATACCACAAGTAATGAATACCACTGATGCCTTTTATTTAAAACTGACTTGCTCGTGTGTAATTTGGTTATTCCACATTCAGTGTTAATGCAGAAATAAGTTTGTTTCCAAATTTAAAGGATCAAAATTGCATACATGTTGATAAAGAAAATGTGCAAATTTGCCGTCACTTTTTCAAAAAATATTAAGTTTGGCCCTCGACTCCGTCCCAGAGTTTCTTTTCGGCCCCGTGTGAGTTTGAGTTTGACACCCCTGCTGTAAAGCAACAACATTTATTAATGGTGAAATTTTGTAACAATTTGTTACTAACCAGTAAATGTGTTTAGTCCTCACGGGTTTCCACAGAAGGAAACATGGCATCTAATATGACGTCGCCCAGAGCTCAATGTATTTAAGAACAGATTTTTATGGTTATATGTTACAATACCGCCAATATTTTTCAACAACTGGGCCTCTTTTAATTCATTTACAACTACATTTTGATGTATATTTCCAGAGATTAATGGTAAAAAACTACACATTGTCACTTTACGTCTCTATAATAGACTTAATGACATAATTAATAAAGCAAATTTACTGCTGCGTTCTATCTCGAGTTCACACGGGAAGTTCTTGCAGAACAATTACTGCTAAATGATTTAGCAAACAGCATTTTACAGATCAGTTGATTCACAGGCATGAATAATCAGCAGGTTAACCAGTCAGCAAAATAACTCCATGTTACAGCTCTGAAATTCAGCTCTGAAATGCAGAGCGAATAAATAAACATGAATCTCAAGCTGAAATGTCTCTTACAGCTTCTGTAGTTGTGATCTCTCCCACAAATTATTCTTAAACACCCTGCAGAGTAAAAACTGAACAGAAGGAAAACAATTCCCCCTTCCTGACAGCAGCTTAAGCGAGTGCTCCACGGAGAGAGGGTGTCCAAACATTCTGACTCAGCAAGCACACAACAGAAAATTCACAACCCCCAAAACACATCCTGTTTTGTTTATATGTCATGGCTTCCCATTTGTTTTTTTTCTCTTCAACAAACACAAAGCTATCACTTCTGACTGTTTCGACAATGCACGGCTGTTTAGCACGATGCACTCAGAAACTATTCAAAGGCCTTGGCTTCACAGATTTTCTCCCTGTAGTGCAAACCTGGATTGTTTGAATTCTAATTCTGGGGACAGATGAGAAGCCAGTGAGGTAAACCGTGCTTAACAGATTAAAAGAAAAGTGAGCCGAATGAAGGAATGGAATAGGAAAAGGAGGTCTTTTGGGTGGCAGGGTGCATGAGAAAGAAAACATGGGAATATTGGTCGGAAGGATTGAAGAGGGAGATTGAGAGAACCAAGTGTTGCAGTCAGGATTAAATAAAAGAAAAGGATGGAAGGGATTGAAAATGGCACAAAAAGTGAATTACCACTGCCTCTCATCTTTCATCTGCAGGCTTAAGAGGCTTAATCTGCCTCCAGCGAGTCTGCGGGCCTGTTTATGTGTCTGTTTGCTCAGAATGCTGGTGTTGCTTCCTAATGAACCACCAGAGAGCAGCAGCCACAAGCATTTTTAACCTCCAGTGCAAGGTTCAGCTGTTTATGTTGTGTTTTATCTCAAATGTGCAACATTCAAAATCAGTGTCAGTAAAACAAATGCCTTGGATAACATTTAAATATAAAAAAATCCGTAAACCTAAGTATATAAATAAGAAATGCAGAAAAAAAGATGTGCATGTACTGTAAAGTAACCCAGTGGCCCTGATATCTTAACTCAGGCTCTCTCATACGTTTGTTGGCCTTCTTAAGCTCTCCAGCATCTGCTGACATCCTGTAAGAACTGCTGACAGCTTTATCTTGGCAGCTTCAGCATGAGTACAGACCTTCTGGAAACTGGTGTGCAGCATAATAGCTCCAACGACCAGGCCGATCAGATCTGCAATGCCAGCTGTGTTCCAGACAGTGTGTCAAACATAGATTAGTCTCAAATGTGTCAGCATAGCTGCCTTGTCGTTTCCTTTGTAGCAGAGTTTGACTGTAGGAAGCCAGTCGCCTCAACTTCGGACTTGGAGGTCCTGCAGCATTGAGCTCAAGGCAACATCTACCAACAATAAGTCAAATAGTTTCATCCCAGTGAGATTAAACGATGGCGAGAAAGGCATTTATATTGTAAAATTTGGTTGTGTTGTGAAATATGCGGGATACGCTTCGGAATTGACGAAACAAGTGCCAAACATCTATGATGTAAACAAATGTCTGCCATCCAAGTAGGTAGATCAGCTGTTCCAGACAGCAAAGCCAGCAGGGAAACAAATGGAGCTGATATAAACGCAAGCTTTCTGCAAAATGGCTCATAATCATTTGTGCCAGACCCCTGGGTGAGTGACGTTTGCTAAGGAGCATGGCACGTTACACACAAACACACATACATCTCACCTTGTCTGCTTTGGGTGTGAGGACGCCTTGTGTGGCGGCGTGCGAGGGCCCAGGGGACGGCGGCTGCAGCGGACTGGCCGAATCACCGTTCAGGAAAATTGCGGACACATTGGGAGGTGTGAGACAGGACAGCGGGGAGGAGAGGGGGAGGATGGGGCGTGAAGCTGGTGAGGAGAGGGGGGAGGGGCCTGGAGACACCATGGAGAGAGGACGACCCGATTGGCTTGGACAGCGTGATGGAGAGGAGCTCTGAGGGCGCAGGGGGGAGACGGCCACAGCGGGGCGCTCTGGACTTCCAGCAGGGGGACTGTGGACTGAAACAAACAAATCCATGTGTTGATTAGTTTATCTGAACATTTCACTGTTCAGAGCCAGCAGTCGACACTAGACGGGAACTTGATCAAATTAGTGTCTGAAAGAAAAGATCTATTGGTTAGAGCACGCATTTAAAAAAAAAAAACACTCCGTTTTCTTTAAAATCTTAAAACATTTAGCCACCAAGGAGACAAACATTTTCTTACAAAAAGAAACATTTTGTCAATTTACACAAAATCTGTTTTATTCTGTCAAACGACAGATCCAACTAGGCAAAGAACCAATCAGAGGCGCTCAAAAGTTGACACTAAATCTCCTCTGAAATGATGGAAATCCAAATATCTTGAGATGTAATTCTCAACTTTTAATCTGTACAGCTTCCCTTAAATAAACAAACACTCTCATAAATGTGCACACACGTACGTGCACACATGAAAAACACACCCACCTGCTCTGCTACACTGCAGCACTCAGACTAAATCCTTAAGGAGGTGAGCTGGTCATGCGATAAATCCACTAAATGCCAGAACTACGCTCATACTTTATTTTGTAATTGAAACCAGATGTGTGTGTGCGTGCATGTGTGTGTGTGTGTGTGTGTGTGTGTGTGTGTGTGTGTGTGTGTGTGTAAGACACAAAGCAACAAGAAAGCAAAACGGGAAAAGAGGAAAGAAGCAGGGAGAGAAGCTCTGTCATTACGCCTCCATAAAACAAAAAGCACAATGATGTCATTCGGTTGTGTATTTGTCAGAATGAGTGTGTGTGTGGGTGGGTGTGCACATGTCTGTATGTGTGTTATTCTTGGCACTTCTCTCTTAGTGCATACTCTCCAACCTCCCCAAAGAGACCTTCACCATTATGCTTCTCAGAGCAGCGAAAGGATACAAAGAGAGGGAAAGAAGAGGGGTACTGAGGAGATGAATAGATTCAGTGGAAAGCAGGGCTGATATGATCTTGTACAAGCGTGTGTGTGTGTGTGTGTAGCACAAATAGTAACACTGAATGATCAGAGCACAGTAACTTCTGTGTGTTAGCATGAACAAAGTAGCTTTGCAGCCATGCTAAATCATCCTGAGTGTTTCCTGTCAAAAATGATATAATCAGAATTAAAATGTGCAGTTTATGCTGTATTGTGCAGAGGTCCTCTGATTCTGAGTCTAAAGTGGATGGTAAGACCAACACAGCTGGATAAAGCTTCAAACCAAATTAATGGCGGAGCACATTTTTGCAGGCACAATGCAGGTTATGCTACTGTAAAACAAACAAGAAACTGGGGGTTAAAGGAGCTGCCTGCAGAACGGCACACGTTGTAGTCGGTACCTGAATTAATGACTGTTCAATATTGCATTATTCTGTAATCAGGGACTAAGGGGCTAAAATGCTGCAAGGTCCCAGAGGATCATGTTCTTTGGTCCTTAAAGCAAGTAGCTTGAGGACAGAAGGTACAGCAGCAAAGCACAATGTTGATAGTTTACCAAAAAGACACAATATATGTAGCTGGGGTCCGTAGCATGATGTCGTCAAAGAGAGGAGGAGGAGATTTTATAGTTCTCCCTCCCCCCTCTGGAAAGAAGTGAAAAAAAAAAAACACACCTCGTATCGCTCGTCACTCAAACAGCCTTGTAACGCTAATGGAGTAACGCTTTTGATTTGTTTCTGCTCAGACACACCAGATTTTAACTCCTGAATGATCTCTTCAGCATTCATCGGGTTCTGTAGGAGCTGCAAATCTCTAATATTAACCAAATCTGCAGAGTTCAAGCAGGGAAACATCTAAAACCGCCTGGAATCCGACACTCGCGATGCTAGCCAACCCCTGCTGACTGTTCAACAGGCTAAAACAAGACTTCAAAATAGCATATGGTTCAATGCTAACCACTTAGCTCCAACACACAAATGGTAAATCTATTTTCTTTCCCCTCCCTCCTCTTCCACAGTTAGTTTGGAGTTTACAGACCAACATTAATTTAATGCAGGTCGAGTTAGCATTTAAGCTAGGCTGGTGTGCTAAGCCCTCTGCTTCACCCTGTGGTGCATGCTGGAAACTAGGGTGCATTCTTGTTGACTGACAGCTCCCTCTTCTAGATACGCTACTGTATTGGTGTGTTGATGATTTGTTTTGCTGTAAGCAGGGTATCTGCAGGTTTAAGGGAGCCAAATTTAAGACTTTTTAAGACATTTTTTAAGGCCACTTTGACCAAATTTAAGCAACTTTTAAAAATGTAATTTAAGCTATAATTTCCAGCTATTGCCTGGAACCGGTGCTAACCATGTCACGAACGTGGGATTAGCCATCCAGTTACCATTAAACTTGCACTTCCCCATGGTGCAAGCTCCCACTAGCTTAACCAGCTAATGTGCTCATCTAAAAATAGCCCCCTTTCACAACCAACTGCATGTATACGGTTCCGCTTACGCCAACATCGTACACAAGAAATGCTGAACGCTAACTACAAATTCACAAAATGTTTATAGAAATAAAAGAATCTTGTTTATTGGGTCTTTGGTAATTTAAGACCTTTGGAAACTATTTAAGGATTATTTGTAATTTTTAAGGATTTTTAAGGCCTTAAATTTGGAAAAGCTAATTTAAGACTTTTTAAGGACCTGCGGCTACCCTGTGTAAGAGGCCAGTGAAGGGACTTCTAGTACTAGTACTTTACATCATAGACCAGTGTCAAATAGTCACATTTAAGCAGTTATCAAGTTACTTTAAACATTATAAATTACGTTCCACAGCTTTAAACTTGCAAACAAGAACTAAAGCATTAAAAACAATTAGCTTTTTACTTGACAGAATTGTAACTGTACATCATGTGGTTTACTGTCCTAATGTGTTTTTGTGCGTATCACAATTCATTTAGGTTATGATAATAATCAGATTACCTGATAAACTTGTTAAAACCAGAACAAACTAAAAACAGGTGAAGCTTTAATGAATCAGATGTGCATTAAAAAAACAGAGTAAAGGTGTTTCTATGTGCAGGCCTCTGCTTACCCAGCTGCATTGAGGTGCGCGCCTGGTTTACTGTATGCTGGCTGGAACGCAGGCAGTTCTTCAGCTGGGCGGAGGCAGTTTGTGGCGAGGAGGCGGGGCTGATGCTGTTTGCTGAGGTCACGAGTGGAGTGGAGGGACGGGACGAAGAGGGGCCAGGGGATCCTGGTGACGAAGGGTCTGAGATTTTGCCTCCTCCTCCAACTGGACTGGACAAACACGAGCCTCGAGTAGCGCTGAGCCCAAACGGTGCCCTTTGAAGGAAAGAAGTGTGGACATTGATTGGTTATTTATTTTACCAAAACACACACACACACACACAATTTTTTTTAAGCTGTGTCTTTGAGTCGTTAAAAGGAGACAACTATCCTCAGATGGAATTAAAACTCAGCTTGGTGCACTAAACGTGCACATGCATGTACCCCATTTAGCTTCCAGCAAGGCTGGGAGCCATGGACTTGTTAGGCCAAAAAAGAATGTTTTTACTCTACAATAGCAGAGCAGTAGATGCAAACACCACTATGAAGCTCTGTAAAAGTGAGTAATGTCAGAACTCTGATCTGGCTGGAGGATCGGCACGCCGTAGTGTCTCGCTGCATCATATATGCTGCTGCAGGCTGCTCATGTTTCTGTCTGCAGAGTGCTGAATGGCAGAACAGTGAACTGAACATTATCAACGCAGCGGTATTCACACTCGTATGGCTGCCTATTGACTTCCCGTCAGACACATACAGAGTTATGGCTTTCTCTGTGTGTGTGTGTGTGTGTGTGTGTGTGTTACTACCAAAAGACACAGCACAGTTATTCACAGGTTCCTTGATTTGAGGTTCTCTTGAAAATATTTTTATAGGTTTTAGGAATTTTCCTAATTTTAGAAAGAAACTATCATGAGATTAAAAAGAATGCGTTTATGTCGAAGTGGGAAAGACGGCCTGAAGTAGAATCATATTTCTGGATAACATCCCGGTTAACAATAATTCAAACACGTCCACAGATTACTTTACAGAACGCTATCAACCTGTCAGGCAAACAAATGTGAGTGTCAGTCTGAGTGTTTATGCGAGCGCACATCTTTGGCAGCCTCTCATTATCATATAGAGAAATTTTTGAGCTGCACTGCAGACAAAGGGGGGTGGGGGTGGGGGGGTGGGGGGTGGGGTGTAGTTAAAACGGGAGGGGGTTGAGGGAAAATGGGAGAGTATGCTTGCGTAAAAATAACAAATTGCCTCGCATTTGATTATATGCTCATCCTGCCTTCCTCTCTCTCCCTCCTGGAGATTGCATAAGAATGTGAAGCAGCCATTCATATCCACTAGAGAAGGAAACCTGCTGCTTCTGCAGCAGTTTCATCTAATTGTATAATTTCATCTTTCTATTGTTTTTGCTTCCGTCTTCCTCCACACCCTGTTGCTATGTAAATCAGTTGTCACAATTCTCAATTTTTGTTTCTCTTATCTTTTGATGCCTCGTGTTTTACTGCAGCCCTGTCCTTTTTTTCCCTTCACTACATGTAAGAACACTAACTAGGGTCATCTATTTTTCTGTACTTTAATCAGCGGTGAGCAAATTTACCTTTTTTTTTTAATTAAATAAAAAATATCCTACACTGTTTACACCAAATTTACATCACATTAATATTTTTTTGTTTCTGTTTGAGTTTGAGGGAATTCAGGGTACCACATTTTTGATTCCACTGCTGGATCCAAATGGGATTAAAGCAGCTTTCCCCTTTCAGAAATGATTTATGATTGGTCAGAAATCCGTAAAAGCGGTTATCTTATCATGTACTGTGATATAATGTAAGCAATACGTCTTTTTTTTTTGTTTTGCTACGCACGCCCCCTGCCCCGCAGAGCTCCGTGCAACAGAAAACTGAGCGCTGACCAGAACTAACCAATAGCGTTAGACTACCACTTACTTGCTTCAAATTTAAGTAATACCTCGGCTGATGCAGAGTTGATAAACTTGTCGGCTACAGAAGCACATTTATAAACAGAAACGTGAAGTCGCCATCTTAAAAAAACAGAGCAACAGACTTTTTGTGTGATATGCTTGTCAGCCACTAGATGGTGCCATCGGATAAGAGAAATACTCTGGAAAGAAGCTTTAAATGTACATGAATAAAGAGTGACATCATGTGGTCAAACGTGGGTACTGCAGTCCATGTATGAAAACAAACACTTCCGCTCTGAGCTACGGATGCCATTTACGGCTCAGAAGATTCTAGATGACGAGCAAAGACGGTTGATAAGTAGATAAAACATTTTACTTTAATACAGAGTTGTTGGTCACTAAAAAAGATAGCTTGAGATATTTTTAGAGCTGACCATTTTTTTCTAACACACTACTTAGCATTGTTAGCTCAATGTTAGCCTCTAGCCTTCTTTTCCCCACATATAGAGTAAAACAAAAAGGATGCTGTGGCTTCTTAGGCGTACATGAAACAACCTCTGGCCCGCTCATTTTACCGGCTAACATTCTATCCATAACCCTGCTGATCTTTGCTGGCTGGCCTCAAATTACATATGCTGGTGCAGCAGTATTCGCCTGCACAGACTTGGCAACCTGTGGGCTCAGATAGGACTGGCTGTGAAAGCAGGGAGTATGGAGGCAGGACATATTGTAAACAGAGGGTGCTTCCCAATGTCAAGGTGCCTGGCCTAGCAAGGCAATGCCATGGTAGGCCAGGCACCTTGCTTACCTGGCCTACCATGGTAAGCCAGGTATGCTTACCATGTGAGGTAAGTCTGTTCCATTTAACTGTTTTCTTTGACTCAAGGAAGGACAGTGTCCTTGTGCAAGGCGCACGTCGCGTGACACGTGAGGTAAAGTTATATGTATAAGTTTAAATATAAAAGCATGATGAGCCTTTTACTTTTTAAATTGTGTACAAATTGGTTAAATTAAATATGTAAGCGAGTTACTACCTGCTAGCCATCGAAGCTGCAACTACTAGCAACTAACCAACCATTGTATCTTAAAAAAACATTTTAGATATCAGCCCGATAACTACAATTAGTTGACTTACATTTAAACTAGAAATTTGCCCACAAAGTAGCTGCTGGCTCCTGATCCACCATCCTTTTGTAAACACTGCGATGTATTATGGAAAATTGTTGTCCAAGAGAAAGCAACAAGGCACCTCGTATCTTGCTCAGTTAGCTAAACGGCAGACAAACAAAGGACAGACGCCTTGGTGGCACATGAAAATTGGAACTGGTTGGAACACGCCTTGGCGGTTCCTGATGACGTATCTCCTAGGCAACCGGGACGGGACCAAGGGATCAAGGTGAGATTCCTTGACACTGAGAAACACCTAAAGACTACATCTCTCTTTGAAATTTAAGAACACCTGGCAACCCGCCAGCCAGCTGAGAAGGAAATCTGTTTCAATGTAACCTTCTATCCAACATGATTGATACATTAGTCTGTTTTTGATTATTTCACAGTAAAATTTCACATGTATTACTTATTGCACCTTGAACTAATAATATTTTAAAAATTGTAATCTGGATGCGATAATGAAAAGATATCAGCCCTTTAACCTCCGACCTCCTCTGACCTGGACACGGGAGTGACGTAGTTTCCTGGGAAGACACCAGAGGCGGCGGTTCTCAGTGACGTGCCTTTGAACCATCCATCCTGACACTTCTCTGTCACCCGGTACATCTCCCCTTTCCTGAGCTCCAGCTCATCGGCTTTCTGAGGCTTGTAGGCATATAGAGCCAGATATCTGTGTAACAAAACAGCAAAATAGTGAAAACAAACAAACAAACAACTGCATCACAAATTCTGGAAAAGAATCTTCACCCTGACTGTCAACCACAATAACCAGTCAACCCATCAGCAGTTGAGGCTGGCCTGAATGGTCTACAAACAGACCAGAATATATCATTGTTCTGTTGTAAAGCTGACAACATGCTGATCATTCTGCTTGTGTAAACATCTAAACGAACTCACATTCCTGTCAGTGGGAGACATTCTTATTATGTAGCACCAGACTGAATGAGAACGCAGAGTAAACAAGCCCTATATGTGCTACCTCTTAGTTACCATGGTAACAGATGTGGGGACTGTCTCCCGTCTCCCCATGGCAACAGGAATAGTTGCCAGGTCAAGATGAAAACGTCGGACCTCATCAGTGGGACAAAGGCATTCTGTGTTGTAAGTGTGTTTGTAGGTGTGTGTGTGTGTGTGTGTGTGTGTGTGTGTGTGTGTGTGTGTGTCTTACTGCTCGTCTGCTAAACTGCTTGAAGGGTGATATTATTAGGGCTGACAATGCTGCTGTATTTGAGTCACATCCTGCCAGAAGGATGGTGATTAATACTGAATACACACACGTATTTGATCATCAAAACTCGTGAGGACTTTCAGTGGTAAGAAAAAAAAAAAACAAAAAACAAAGTCTATTTCTCGCAGTGCAACACAAGGAGAGAAGATCAAGAGCATAATTACACCTTGAACCTCTTTTTTAAAAGCAGTTAATTGTGGTAGGTTTGCTGAGGTTGGTGCAGTAAATCACTTCTGATCGGGATGGGATTTTTATGCACATTCCTGGTAAAAATGTGAATTTGTGAGTGCTTTCAGGATGTTTTTCTACATCTTATTCACCCAATCTATGCAGAGTTAATGAAGACAAAAGAAAAAAAATATTTAGTTTTTACTGAGTTCTTTACACTATTTCCCCACAAATCTCAAGTGGTGCTCGCTGCAGAACCACAAAGGCGGAGCTGCACCAGAAGGTGGAGCTGCACCAGAGTCAGCCCCGCCCATTCCAGAATCAGCCCCGCCCATTCCATCAGAGTCAGTCCAATTCCTTCCAGTTGTCAGACTTGATAGCATTCTGGAATCAAAGAGGGTGTTATAGCTAAAAAATGCAAGATTGAGGACGGAGTTGAGAAGTTAATTGAGCAGTTTTTGTAAAGGTTCCATATAATTAAAAATCTAACTTTTGGAACTTTTAGTCATGTTATATTGTCATTTCCTCATAAGAAACACGCCAAAGCCATTTTTAGCCTCATTCATGCATTTTCCTCCCATCTCAGCTTCAATTTGGTCTCCTCCCCCGAAGCGGGTCTGGTCTTGGTTCTCAAATCTGGATATTCTGTGAATTTTCTGACAAATTATTTCTGAAATGACTTCTGCTGAGACACCGCCAATAAACCATACATCCCCATCTCAGAGACACACTTGGAGGCACAATTAGATGTAACGCCGCATGAGTTATAACAGATGTGCTGGTGTAGTGGTTGTGGAATCAGGTTGACATGCAGTTTTGCGCAGGTTCGCCTCCCATTAGTGTAAGTTTTAGGTAGTGTACAACCTCTTTTCTTCATTTCTAGCTACACTTGCCAGTACTATGTTTACAACAATTTACTGATATACCGTTTAACATATAATGATTAATGTGTTTTTTTATTTATTTATTCGTTTATTTAGCCAGTGTGAGTCCATTTGTGAGCAGAGTTTCAACTAAAATGCTGTTTAGGAACGATCAAATTCAAAGAACTTTTAGAGACATAAATATTTTGTTGAAAATAAACATTACAACTAAAATATAAACAAATTAAATGTTTCAGCTGGCTAAATAGATTGCTGACGACCCCACCGAGAATCGAACCAGCATCAGCTGAGGGGAAAGCAAAAGTTAATTCAGACAATCTCGCCACTAGACTACCAGAGCCCATTCGAAAGTCTGCTATGCTGTTATACACCACTTCTGTTAGACCGGCTGTAGGCAGATATTCGCTAAGAGAAAGCTTTTCATTTCGAGATATATTCAGTCTTTGCCATGTAGCAAGTTATATTTATCTTGTTTAATTGGAGCATAGAACATAGCATTAACGACTGTAAACTAGTAACAGCCGTAATTCATGTGGGTCAGGTCAGTTTGCGATAAAGTTGAAAACAAAAACGGAAGTCAGTGGGTAAGCTGAGTTTGCGTGAATGGGCGGGGCTGACTCTGGTGCAGCACCACCTTATGGTGCAGCTCCGCCTTTGTGGTTCTGCAGCGAGCACCCTCTCACAAATCTGGGCAAAATGTAATTTTCTTTTTCATAAAATAAAAATCTTTCAGACATATTTCCTTGTTCTAAATATTTAGGTTTGTAAGGTCGGCTATTTGAAACCAAAGCCTCACACAATTTTCTGAACTGTATTTTCCCTCTCTGAAGGCGCATTCCATCCTTGATCGGTGAAGGAGTAAATGTGGTTGCAAAGGTGGTGGAACATGGCCAATATCTCGGGGCACAAAAGAACAAATATGTCCAACGCTGTCAAGAGGGTGGTTTCTGAAATCCTGCATGAATCTCAGGCAGGGTTCACTCAGATGGTGAACAGAGTAGGCTGGTGGAAAGGAGGCTTCACAAAAAAATAAAAAAACATCACAGCTGGATAAGCTGACAGCGCTGAAGGGTACTCACATGTTGAGTGGTAGCTGCACCTTGGCATGGGCCAGCAGCTCAGAGGTTAGAGACGCCACTTTGGGAGGGAGAGGTACACCCACCGAGGAGGGGGAGGGACCCGGAGGAGATGCATCCTAAAGTCAAGAACAAAATGGTTTTTATTTAAAATAAAACAATACATAAAGAGGAAGTTAAAGGTGGAATATGGAACACGAACACCAAAGCCACATCAAGTGTGTGAAGGCTGTAGTTGCAACAATAAAACAAGGTTTCCAGCCGTCGGGATACCAGGTTCACTCCCGAGATGTGAAATTTTTTATTTGAGTCCATCTGTTGTAGGCTTCACCTAAACTCACTCTGGTTTTAGATCTTATATGGTCTCTCCTCTTCTGAGAAGGATAACGACACCTTCTAGGCTCAGAAGGAGCTGCTTGACTCACCGAGTCCGCTATTTTCCTCAGAACCAGCCTCTTTGTGCCGAGCAATCCGCAATGGTGCCCTCTATTGGCTGGTAGATGTAGACAAACCCAGTGCCGTTCCCATCAAAATACATATTTGATTTTTTTTATATTGGTGATTACAGGATCTTTTTTAAACTTTAACAAAATAGGAACAACAACAAAAATCCAATATCAACACAAGAATCTAGAATTTCTATTTAAATTCACACCTCCTTCAAGATATTTGCGTTTACAAGTTGAAGTAAACAAACTGTCGCCGACCAGAGATGTCCCTGACCTGCCAGAAAAGGTTTACGCCCCCTGCTGTCCTGGAGAAGCTGTTCACAACACTGACACCAACGGAGAAGTAAAAAGGAAAACGTCTTCATCAACGTTTCTTTTCATTTTATACCTTAAGTGCGAATGAAGGAAGCAAAATACTTGCTTTTTTTTAGCCAACCAGAGGCGAGATGTTTGCATATCATGAATATTAATGAGCAAGAGTAAGCCGTTTTCTGCCTCCCACTCCTCCAGCTAACTTCTACTTCCTGGAACAGGAGAGCCAGATTCTTTTCCACAGGCATTCATTTTGTGTGTGTGTGTGTGTGTGTGTGTGTGTGTGTGTGTGTGTGTGTGTGCACCTGAATACGTGCAGCAGCTCTGGGGTCAGAGGAGCTGATTAGAACTGGGTGGGAAATCTCCATGCTGTGTCTGTTGTTGAGCTGGGCAGCTCTCTGGCTAACAGACAGTGCGGAAAATGAATGTCGCTTCTTCGCATTTTTCTTTCCTTCGCCTCTTTTATGGCCGGAGCCATTTCCATTAGACGGGGAGGCACTGGGGGAGGGCCCAGGGGTGCAGGGGCCCAATGGAGCTGGTTCAGAGCTGGGACCTGGTGCATTAGCTGGCATCAGTTTGTCAATCTCCATCAACTGCTTCGCTGTTTCATTTAACTGAGGAACCAAGGGCAGGAAGGACAAGAGAAAGGAGATCAGATGTTAGATGTCAGAGCTGAGTGGTTCATGCACATCAACACACAAGTGAATTAGTGTGACCTTTTCTGGTTGGTTCTTGTTGGCAGCTGCTTAAACCTGCAAAATAACAATAATCACCTACAACAGCTGGCCTGTAGAAGCGTCGTGTTATTCCAAACCTTTCAAACACACAACGGTGAGCATCCACGTTGCTTGTATAATTTATTATACTGACACAATTCAGTAAAGTAGCAAATACACTACAGATTGTGCCCATAATCACACCTAAATACACACTGTAAAAGGCTAACACACACACACACACACACACACACACACACACACACACACACACACACACACACACACACACACACACACACACACACATTTACAGAGTTGTCATATTTTGCACAGATAATTCAGCGCAATAAAAAAAAATCGTAAATTCCAAATAAGATTTAGCTACATTTCCCCACTGAAGAGCAATAGAGGGAATTTCTATGTGATGTTAGTTTCCCAAATTCATTTAGTTTTTTTTTTCATGAAGGGGGATCCTTGCATATACTGGTATCTAGGGCTGCACGATATTAGGAAAACCTGCGATATGCGATAACAGTGATTAATATTGCGATGACGATACACTTGTGATAAATAAAAACTTAATTCAGGAACAAAAATGATCAAAATTAAAGAAATAAAAAATGACTAAAAGTTCATCAAAACGAGAAAGTCAAAAGATGTGAGGAAAGGGAAAAAAAATGAACAAGAAAAGGTAATCAGTGGATCCTGGGAAATGCAGAATCAGCAGAAAGAGCAGAACAAAGCTAGCTCAGGTGTTTGCTAATCATCAAAATTAAGTGTCGGGGGCGGGCATCTAACCTATGAGAACCCACCCAATTGGCCAAATGGATGAAGAGCTCTATTTGATTTGTTAAAAAAACATCATGCTTCCGTTCGATTGACAGACTGCATTATGTGTAGCAAACATTTGAGCTGACCATTCATTGCGATATTTATCTGTTCTTTGCGATATGCACATTGCGCATGCTGATATCACGATAACGATATATTTGCGATATATTGTGCAGTCCTACTGGTATTGGTTTATATCTGAAATTAAAGCCCCAATTCCGCAACTTTTACACCTTAAATAATGCTTTTTTTGAAAAGTTCTGGTGGCATACTATCAATTAATATGTTTATTTTTGGAGCTGTGATAGTGTTATGGGCTCCCACGTCTGTTTATTGCATTGTACAGTTTTTGATCCGCCGTTTGCCACCGGAAGTACTGACTTTGTTTTGCGAATGGGTCTCACTCTCCAAAGCAGAGACTGTAGAAAAGTCCAACGTCAATGTAGATCTTGTGTCTGATTTTGTGAAAACGCTTGATAAATTATGTGTTTTAGTTGGGTAGCACCTTCCTTAGTAGAAATTAATGCACTGGGGGCGAATGGAGACCCATCAAAAATGGCGGCCTGCAACTACGGCAGCGCTAGTCCACAGGGCATCTACGTGTATATGTCTGTGGTAGACCCGCAGTTTAGAGACTTGGGCAATGGCAGATCCACCGAAGGAAGCTAGAAATCCCTCATCAGAGGAATCTAGGAAAAGACAAAGAGAGCGCTATAGAGCAAGAGCAAAGACCAGAGTTAATACTGGGCCAGTTTATCCTCGCTGGAGAGCTCTTCTCGAAAGAACGGCATGCACTACGGACTCTGACCTAGCCGTGCTGCTAATGGATAGGTAAGTAATAAATTATTTCACCGGGGTTAGGGTGTTTTGTCGAGCATAAAGTTGTTATAAAGTCCTGATAAAACTTTATTCAATGCATAAATAACGCAGAATGTGGTTGTTTGGGCACACAAGTTGGAAAAAAGCCAGTAAACACGCCTCTGATGCGCAACAGAGAGATTTGATTTTACAACAGTGACGTTACGCAGCAAGCCTGGAGAGGGCGACAGAGAGCATGTATCCACAAAGTTCAGCAATTTGTCTTTAAAAGTTAAACTACATCGAATATTGGTAAAAATGCTGATTTGAAAAAAATCATAGAAGATCATAATACATTTCCTCACACTTTGGAGGAAAAGAAAAACATTTTTTAGAGAAACAAATTTCCAGTTGTTCTCTATTGGCTAGTCTTCATTTAAAACCTTATCGTGGTGGAGGAGTTTGAGTGCCCTAATGATCCTAGGAGCTATGTTGTCTGGGGCACTTAGTGCCCCTGGTAGGGTCTCCCATGACAAATTGGTCTTAGGTGAAGGGTGAGACAAAGAACGGTTCGAAGGATCTTTCATGGCGGTTAAAACGAAGAGTCGGAGTACCCGGCCCGGAGGGTTACCGGGGTCCCACCCTGGAGCCAGGCCTGGGGTTGGGGCCCGTGAGCGAGCGCCTGGTGGCCGGGCTTTCGCCGATGGGGCCCGGCTGGGCCCAGCCCGAACCGGATACATGGGCTCGTCCAACTGTGGACCCACCACCCGCAGGAGGAACATGAAGGGTCCGGTGCAATGCGAATCGGGTGGCAGACCAAGGCGGGAGCCTTGGCGGTCCAATCCCCGGACAAGAAAACTAGTTTTTGGGACATGGAACGTCACCTCGCTGGCGGGGAAGGAGCCGGAGCTTGTGGCAGAGGTTGAGCGGTACCGGCTAGATATAGTCGGACTCACCTCGACACATTGCATTGGCTCTGGAACCCGAGACCTGGAGAGGGGTTGGACACTCTACTTTGCTGGAGTTGCTCCGGGTGAGAGGCGGAGGGCTGGGGTTGGCTTTTTGTTAGCCCCGAGACTCTCTGCCTGTGTGTTGGGGTTTACCCCGGGGGACAAGAGGGTAGCTTCCTTGCGCCTTCGGGTCGGGGAACGGGTCCTGACTGTTGTTTGTGCTTATGGGCCAAATATCAGTTCAGAGTACCCACCCTTTTTGGAGTCCCTGGGACGAGTGCTAGATAGTGCTCCATCAGGGGACTCCATTGTCCTGCTGGGGGACTTCAATGCTCACGTGGGCAATGACAGCTTGACCTGGAGGGGTGTGATTGGGAGGAACGGCCCACCTAATCTGAACTCGAGCGGTGTTTTGTTATTGGACTTCTGTGCAAGCCGCAGCTTGGCCATAACGAACACAATGTTCGAACATAAGGATGCCCACCGGTACACTTGGTACCAGGGCAGCCTAGGTCACAGGTCGATGATAGATTTTGTAGTCGTATCATCTGGCCTGCGGCCGTATGTTTTGGACACCCGAGTGAAGAGAGGGGCGGAGCTGTCAACTGATCACCACCTGGTGGTGAGTTGGATCAGATGGCAAGGGAACATGCCGCATAGACCTGGCAGACCCAAACGCATAGTGAGGGTCTGCTGGGAACGCCTGGCAGAAGAACCTGTCAAGACGGTCTTCAACTCCCACCTCCGGCAGAGCTTTGACCACGTCCCGAGAGCAGTGGGGGACATTGAGTCCGAGTGGGCCTTGTTCCACTCTGCGATTGTCGAGGCGGCTGTTGCTAGCTGTGGTCGTAAGGTGGCCGGTGCCAGTCGTGGTGGCAACCCCCGTACCCGCTGGTGGACACCAGAGGTTCGGGGAGCCGTCAGGCTGAAGAAGGAGGCCTACAGGGTGTGGCTGGTCTGTGGGTCTCCGGAGGCAGCAGACAGGTACCGGATAGCCAAGCGGGGTGCAGCAGTGGCAGTTGCTGAGGCAAAATCTCGGGCGTGGGAGGAGTTTGGTGAGGCCATGGAGAAAGACTATCGATCGGCTCCAAAGAGGCTCTGGCAAACTGTCCGGCGCCTCAGGAGAGGAAGGCAGCAACTCGCTCACACTGTTTACAGTGGGGATGGGGAGCTGCTGACGTCAACTGAGGCTATAGTCGGACGGTGGAAGGAATACTTTGAGGAGCTCCTCAATCCCACCAATGCGCATTCCGAGGAGGAACCAGAGCTGGGAGGCCTGGGGATGGACTGTCCGATCTCGGGGGCAGAAGTTGCTGAGGTAGTCAAACAACTACACAGCGGCGGAGCCCCGGGGGCGGATGAGGTTCGTCCTGGGTATCTCAAGGCTATGGATGTTGTAGGGCTGTCATGGTTGACACGTCTCTACAACATTGCGTGGTCATCGAGGGCAGTTCCTAGGGAGTGGCAGACCGGGGTGGTGGTCCCCATCTTTAAGAAGGGTGACCTGAGGGTGTGTTCCAACTATAGGGGGATCACACTCCTCAGCCTCCCTGGAAAGGTCTACGCCAAGGTACTGGAGAGGAGGGTCCGATCGATAGTTGAATCTCAGATAGAGGAGGAGCAATGTGGTTTTCGTCCTGGCCATGGAACTGTGGACCAGCTCTATACCCTTGCAAGGGTGATGGAGGGGGCATGGGAGTTTGCCCAACCAATCCACATGTGCTTTGTGGATTTGGAGAAGGCTTATGACCGTGTCCCCAGGGGCACCCTGTGGGGGACGCTCCAGGAGTATGGGGTGGGTGGCTTTCTGTTAAGGGCCATTCAGTCCCTTTACCAGAGGAGCGTGAGTTTGGTCCGCATAGCCGGTAGTAAGTCGGACCTGTTCCCAGTGAGGGTTGGACTCCGCTAGGGCTGCCCTTTGTCACCGGTTCTGTTCATCACTTTTATGGACAGAATTTCTAGACGCAGCCGTGGTGTGGAGTGTGTCGAGTTTGGTGGCAGGAGAATCTCGTCTCTGCTTTTTGCGGATGATGTGGTCCTCCTAGCTTCATCCAGCTCTGACCTTCAGCTCTTGCTGGGTAGGTTCGCGGCCGAATGTGAAGCGGCTGGGATGAGGATCAGCACCTCCAAATCTGAGACCATGGTTCTCGACCGGAAAAGGGTGGCTTGCCACCTCCGGGTCGGGGGAGAGGTCCTGCCTCAAGTGGAGGAGTTTAAGTATCTTGGGGTCTTGTTCACGAGTGAGGGTAGGAGGGATCGGGAGATCGACAGGCGGATTGGTTCGGCGTCTGCAGTGATGCGGACGCTGAGCCGATC